AGGCAGGTGGTGGAGGAGTGTTAGACTGGGGTTACTGGTCCTAGAGGGGGTTCACATAGGGGGTAAAAACTAAGATATTAACAATTGTCGAGGAGTACACCTTTTTCTGTTGAATATCAGTAGAAGTGAGCATAAAGCCTTACCAGTGAAATACATCTTGAACGTGCGCATTGTATGGCGGAATGCAGAACAATCGTTGAGTTCTAGGTTATGGAAACGGACCCCCATATGAAGTATTTATGCAACCCGCCTGCCCTCTTGTTATAAGCTACCGGCAAAGGGTGGCAGCGGTGGGATAACCCACCAATCATCCCCCTCTAAATTGAGCATATCACCTACTCCAACGAAGGGTGGTGAATTTTCGATGGGTCTGCGAGGAGTTAGAGTTGATGTCGACAGCCTGGTCTTAAAATTCCTGCCAAACTTGGACTTGGGGACGGGTAACCTGAGAAGATGGGATGGGTGATTGGAGGGGAGATGGAGTGTTACATGGTTAGGTAGGAGATTTCTAGGAGAAGGGGTGGATAAAGGGAGAGAGAGAGAGAGAGAGAGAGAAAGAGAGAGGCCTGGAGTGAGGTTGAATATGCATAATTAAAGTGAGAATGTGATGATGAATTCATCAAGATGGAGGGAAAGAGAAAAAGAGATACAAATGAATGAGATGAATATAACGGACAAGCAGAAAGACATGTCAAAAGAGGTGGGGACAGAGAAATGCGGAAAGAGAAAGAGAGAAAGAGAGAGAGAAAGAGAGAGAGAGAGGGAGGGGGGGGGGGGAGACTTGCACACAGACAGACATACAAAATGCAAACTGCAAACAGATAGACACGATCGGACTCTTTTCCAGGAGGGGTATAGTCACGGTTGTAGAAAACAAAAGAACTGAGATGAAATTGTGCTCTGAAAACGTGTGAGGCAATGACAGCTGTTTCATCTCAAAATATGAAATCGGAGAGAACGTTCTGAGGAGTGGGATTTATGCCCTTTTCTGTTGTGTCCACTCTTTCATGATACGCGAGGGAGGCGATGTCTTGTATTTTTACCCCAATTCTAAGGGACCAATGATGGAAAACACCATATTTCTATTTGCCCTGCACACCATCTTTTACAAGTTCGGGATAATCTTGTTCGTTGTTTATTGAACTTCGGAAATGTAAAAAATATTTGTTTTGTATTATGGAGCACAAAATGGGTATGAAAACATTTACAAGGCATTTTCTAGTTGGCGAAAATTGCTAGACCAATATTCTTTTGGAGAATGAAAATGCCATTTTCCATCGATAAATAGAACAAATCAGAAGTGGGAGAACCCAATTTTCTTTGTTGAACACGTTTACTTGTTGAGGAGGAAATTTTGCATGTAATAAACTTTACAATATGTATTAAACAACAGTTTCTTTGAATAACATGAGAATCCATCAAGACACATCAAATCTGTTCTAATTCAGAATAGAATTACTAAATTACCCCAATTTCGATGAAATTCCAGAAACGGAAAGAATACACCGGCTGGCAAAACATTACGTTTTCGCTCTTGCCCTCTGTCATTATAATCTTCCATGTCATATAATAATAATTTTCACAGCGAAGTCTGTTAACCCACGGGGTCAGGGAGGTGTGGTGAAAGTCTCCTCGAGCCTCGGGGTCCAGGTGCCATCACTATTCCGTTCACTTTTCCTTTTAGCTCTCCAGCTTGTGTGTTCAAGTGTAATGTAATGAGTTGGTTGCAGTGCTATGTGTGGTGTCACGTCGGGAGAAGGAAAGACCGAGACGATGGCAACAGATGAGAGATGAAAAAGAATGAGAGGAAGGAACTGATAATAATAACTGAAAATCTTTTGATAGATATATAACAAAATATAATGTAGTTACTGAAAATAAAAGATTCTATTATACTATACTAACATCGGGATTTCACCCATTAGCAATATCATTCTATCATCTTTACCATTTTGCTGAATTGGCCCAAAATAGTATTGTTGCTTAATATATCATGTATATAACCCTTCACGAGGTCTTAATGATTATTATGTAGCATAATTATTACAATTTCTTTATATGAAACTCAGATCTAATACACATTACAATCATAAATTTTGTACTCATATTGCACAAGTACTGGCATTGGCTTTCAGTTTGCAAAACAGGACGATTGAAAACAGTGTTGATGACAGCTATATTATATAATGTTCTCCGATGATGTTTTCATTCGCCGAAATATGATGACATTTTATGACACCATAACCCGTAAATGTCCTACAGATTTTGACGTTTTCGATCAATTTGAAGACGCATTTTAGACAGCTGTTGTTTTTAGTGGGCAAGTAGATTTTACGGCGTGTTTGGGTTGGAAAATATTGGTGCGACTATTAAAGATTTTTTTCAGAAATCAGAACGCGGTTCAAGATTTTATCCCTCGAAGATTGTTCTTTATTTTCTTATTTATTTCACTTTTTTTATTCAGGGTAGTCTGTTCAGTATACAAAAAATAAAAACCTGGTCTTCCACAGAGCCCTGATTATGGCTTATGACAGGTATGCGCAACAACATCGGTGCCTTTAATCCCCACTCTCTCTCTCTCTCTCTCTCCCTCATATGAGTTCATTCATATTCAGTGATACCCCAAACCCCATTTTGGAGCAGACTCGGGATAATTTGTATCCATATGGATAAATATGTTTATCTTAGGTGTATTCTTATTTCTTGTACTTGTCTAAAGTTTCATCCTAGAAATAAGAATTAAAAAATATAAAAAGGGAGCATAGTCTTTTTCGCAGCTGGAACTTGGAATACCTGACTGTTTTATTTGTGGTGGAATGTTTGTCGTCGAGAAAGACAAGATTTGTTAACCACCTCTCACCCTCATTCCACCACAAGTCAACTGTTTTAAGCCGCACCCCATGAAGCTGTTCAGAGGACTCGTGATATGTAGTAGGCCGCACACTCTAATTCTATGTCAGGGACTGTTGATGTTATCTCCGTCGCAATTCTGACCCAGAAAATGAGACGAAATGCGTTCATTGTCCCCACACCGACAGAAAAAAAACCCTGGAAAGCATGTCAATCTAATTACAATCTGGCTGTATGGGTGAGAACATAGATCTGTGGTGAGAATCAGAGCGAAAAAGTACAGAGAGATGAATCGTCTAGCTCCTTTAGAAATAGAAAAATTGAGACAGTTGGCGGGATTAAATCATTTACATGTTCTAAGATACAAACACGATAACTGCGAATATGCTGAATGGGGCTATTAGCGGGATCGGAGCCGGATAAATTGCTAGGAACATAATGGCACAATTATTAGTCCGTAACCCACCCTTTTAGCCCACGGACCTAAACTGCATTAATCCCTTCATTACGAAAACTGCAACCTGTAATGACATTATCAGTTGATTTATTGCTATTAATATCCAAACGAGTTAAGCAGTCATCAATATCATTTTCAGCTTTTTCATGAAGTTCCTTTGTAAAGATAGAAATCGGGCCAGTGTTTTGTGAGTCGATTTTTGTAAATATATGGGATGATGATAACGAAGAGGCACGCTCTCTTGAACTTTAGGGGTATTATTCATTGGTGAAAGATTATTGTGTGATGGCATTTTCCGAAAGTCATTTGCAATGATTTGTCAATACGACAAATGTAAACAAGACTGAATAATACATGCCCCCGGGGATTGTGGTAGAGATAATAAGAGAGAGAGAGAGAGAGAGAGAAAACGGGAGAATGGATGTATGGAATAGCCTTGAAAATACAAAAATGAATGGCAATAGGTCAAATATAGGAATAGAAAGAAAGGATATAGATCATTAACGATCATTAACAATTATAAATTTTTAGAAAGCAGAGCGGAAAAAGCAGTAGTTAGACCTTTGTGGAAATAACTCTGAACATATCCATTTCAGTGTCAAGATCGATATGTTTAAAAGGAAGGGGATTATTTTTTTTAAAAATGACTACCACCACAAGAAGAAGAAGAAGCATTTAGGAAACTGGAAAATAGAGATGGGTTTTAGTATTCTAGATTCAATAGCATTTTTTGGTTGATCAATCATGCATTCCTTAATAAGAATGTAATTCCCAAATAGGCGGACTCTGTTTTAGTTCAAGACTAAGAAGTGTAATAGCACATTATATTTGTTATGTCATGCGCTATATCGAATACGATCACAAAGACTTTCACAAATTGAACTCAAGGCCTATTTGAGTACCATATTGAACTCAAGGCCTATTTGAGTACCATATTGAACTCAAGGCCTATTTGAGTACCATATTGAACTCAAGGCCTATTTGAGTACCATATTGAACTCAAGGCCTATTTGAGTACCATATTGAACTCAAGGCCTATTTGAGTACCATATTGAACTCGAGGCCTATTTGAGTACCATATTGAACTCAAGGCCTATTTGAGTACCATATTGAACTCAAGGCCTATTTGAGTACCATATTGAACTCAAGGCCTATTTGAGTACCATATTGAACTCAAGGCCTATTTGTGTACCATATTGAACTCAAGACCTTTTTGAGTACCATATTGAACTCAAGACCTTTTTGAGTACCATATTGAACTCAAGACCTTTTTGAGTACCATATTGAACTCAAGGCCTTTTTGAGTACCATATTGAACTCAAGGCCTTTTTGAGTACCATATTGAACTCAAGGCAGGCCTATTTGAGTACCATTGCCTAAAGTAATCATCTTCGGAATAATACGTCATTGTCATGTTCGAACATTTTCAACAGGTGATGCACAATGCTATTGAAATTGCTATATAGGTGATCTTTTGAAAAGTCTTTGCAATCGTTTTAATGTTAAATTTCCTGGAACATTGGAATTCAACAGTTTGAGCGCTCAGCAGAGGAGTTTTCTTCTTCTTCTTTGACTGCCGCAGTTGTCTTTTGTCTCGCGTACAATGTACATAATGTACATTAAGGAATTTGATCCATTGCGAATATAGAGTTAATACATACTGTTTTCTGTCTTTCTTCTCCACCTGTTGTAGGAGGTGACGGACGGAATACTCTCGGGGAAGATCTCATGTCGTAACATCAAATGTCCTGACATCACATGTCCCAATGACGAGGACCCAGTCATCAAAGATGGCTTCTGTTGTAAGACCTGTCCGTCAGAAGGTAGGATACATTTTTGAACATAATTTTCCCCACCTTTTTATCGTGATTGTTTACTTTGCATCTATGTATATATTTTGTATATCTTTTTAATTTTTTTATTTTGTTAGCCTTCCTGAAATAAATAACATTACCAGAAAAATGTTAAGAATAATAAAAAGTGTTTGCAAATGACATTTGTTTTTATTTGATTTATAAAGGAATCTAACATAGCACTTATGTGACAATGAAAAGAAGAGAAACCAGTTGGAATGTTCTTTGTGATTCAGACTTTGTACAGGGTGATTGAATTATTTGCATTCGATCGAAAACATGTTTCAAGCAATCTATTATCACTATACACTTGACGCTTTATTTCAATGTTTGATTTTATCTGTTTTGTCTATTCAAGATATTGATAAAGAAAAGCCCATTCAAACCAACGGATCGAGCGAGTCTCACCGGACATACCCCGACGATACGGCATCTACAGAGGGTACAGATGATACTTTACAAGGCGAAGGTAAAATCCTATTGTTAAATACATTTCCAGATAAAGATGGCACTATAAGTGTATGAAATTGATTATTGATGTACTCTTAAGTCAGTCCTATATATTCATCAATATTGTGAATAACCTCCAAGTCCTTCTTAGGTTTACAAACAAATAGCTTTAGTGTAATGGTTCAAAGATTGGTTTAACAGATTTTTGGCTAATTTGTTTGATGTCTTTATATATAAACATGAACGTTCATTATAACTTTGAGGACTGGTATGTTGATGGGCGAAATTATAAGTAATAATATTAAGGTGTTCAGATCAAGACAACTGGAGCTGGAGTGAGTGTCCTATTTGATCTCTAATCAGCGTGTTTTGTTCTGCATTGTGTTGTGATTTGCAGCTTTCGTATCCATTTTGTCTGGTCGTTTGACATCGGCGAACACCAGAGCAGTTTCTCGAGGATCGTTTCTTCTCATGAACAACAATCTCCACTTCACAATGCATGTATCAAGGTAAGATTAATCGAGTATTTAATATGGATAGATGATCATCCCCTCTCTCCCAATAGTACAGCTGCTTATTTTCAACGCTGGTAAAAGAACTCAATAATGTTTATGTGATAGGAACACATTGTTTATATCATTGAGTAAATCTCTTGCAATTGTAATTTGGTAAGATCCTTGGTACCACAATCTAAAATGACTCTTTAAATCTCATACGTGTGGATTTGTACCAGAATGTTCACTATAGTAGTCCTTCTCTGCCAAGTGCCAATCATATACATGGGGAATCTTTTACATTTTGTACAAGCATATTAACCAAAAACGTGTTTTCTATTCAAATCTTACACGTCGGGAAACCTAAGAATCTTTCATAAAATGTTGACAAAAGTGTTTTTATCCTCACTTTTGCAGACTTAGTACACCTCTTGAAGTTGTCTTCACAGGCGTACTCAATACGACGCTTCACGTCCATACCGTTCGCGATGTCGATTCAGATACGGTGAGTTTTGAAGATTGTAAACATTTTATTATTTTAATAAAAACACTTCTGAAAATATAAATCCTATTTCAGTTTACCTTTATATTCTCGTCACATTCACTTCTCTTTTTCTGTTTAATTTTCGTATTCTTGTGGCCAATTTATGAGAGGAAACATTTTGGTATTACTTTCAAATAGATTTGTGGAGAGTGGAGGAACGTTCCACAGATTGTCTCACGTGATCTGCGCAATAGAAACATTTTCGTCACACTGACCACCAGGTCACATGAGCATGGGGAGGTCAGAGGTCGCCTTATCCCGCATCGTGCACTGTCTACAGGTAAATAACGTGGTGACCGGTTCACGAAACTGTCCTATGTGCAAGTTTTAGACATCCCATTGAAGCACGTGTTAATTTAAATACACGTGTATCAAATCGATGTTGGCGAACTTGAACTTTGACGGTCTCGTGAAACGCAGCACTGATCACAATCTCTTTCATTAATACTTCTGAACTGGTAGTGACAATTTCCAGTAGATACACATCGGTTGGTCTTAAAATTCGATCCTGGACTTGGTCTTTTATTTTCTGAGGGTCAATGGAAAACATTTCCTCCTACTTCCTAGGCATTATTATAAGAAGTGTTATGTGAAAGGTTTTCACCACCAAAAATGCCGATTCTTACTTCATGAAGCTTCATGAAGCTGCTTAATAATTTGACTTACGTTTTATTGCAACTGGCCCGGGGGGCTCTTACACAAAAAGTTGCATAAGGATCGAGTATTTGAAACTTGCATTTAATTTGTGGAGTTGACTTTATACTCAGTTTGTATGCAAAAGTATCCTGTATTCGTTTAATGAAAAGGTGAGACAGTGGCCAAACTATATCCACTGCGGAGGAGACTAGCTTATTAACCATTTATTCATTTCCGTCAGAGAACCCGCCACTTACCTAATGATACATCGCGAGGCGGTATAATTTTGGACATGACTTGGTGATTTTTCTGTTTTTCATTGACGATAAAATTGAGTGGCTTAAAATACCGAAACTTACGAGATCATTTCTAGAGTAGGTGAAGTGAGGCCTTCTTACAAAACAAGGCACGGCTTTGTTTATGAACAGAACTGATTTTTAAAATAACATCCTGTAATGTCGATTGACAGAGCAAAAATAAGAAAGCAAAAGGAGCCATGTTTAATTTTTGGTACGGGGGGGGGGGGTTCTTTACCTGTCAAAAAGATGGAATATTAATAGATTATCCCTTTGATTAAGTTATCTATTATTCAATTTAGAATGGAGAGGGGGAGCCTCATGCTTTTAATCCGATGTGACCTGCTGCCAATTTGATGTGCTTTAATGCTTTCATCCTGTTTACACCATTTGCCATATTTCATGAGTTTAGATGATCTAATCATTAAAGATTATACAAAATAATATGGAAGTGTCATGGGTGAAAAAGCACATCATTAATGATGATTTGAAAGACGTTTTCAATGAGTGTATTGGTAATCTGTACCAGCAGTCTCTGTCATGTCATAAACGGTTTACATTTTATATCACGAATTAATTTACTTGTGTGGTCCTCAAAGAAAACGTAATTGTTGATGATTTGTAGTTACTAAATAAAGTCATTTACACTTGTATAGATTGCGCATAATGCTTTTGACGTCAGAGCTATGTATTTTCTAAAAAGCAACATTTCTTTTGTGGTTAAAGTATTATTTTATGGTAAATCAATAACAACAATAAGGAAATTATGTTTTATTTCTGTTATTATTCATAGAATCTTTCAGTGTTCTCTTGACGCCGAAGCGTCGCAATGGTCCCATCAATGGGTCCTTAGGAAAGGGAGGATTGGTCATGCTGTCTTCCTCCAAAAATGGTAACACCCTCAACTTTGCCGCTCTGCTCGATGGACTGGTCGAGTCAGGTAAATAACAACCTCTTCAAAAGTAAACCCATGAACTTTTTACTCTGTCTTTCATGTTCATTTAGCATTTCAGTTACTCATTCATTCTTTCATATACCCAGCATTATTATGATTTTGTTCCCTTTATCCTTTCACCTTTTTCATATTGTCTACTAAGAGGACATTCCCTTACTTTATCGGTGCTACTCAAAAAGAGTCAATATAATATATCTTCATTCAAAGCTATTCTCCCTTCTCATTTGCACACGTAAATATCTCTTTCTGCTTCTTCTTTTGAATTGTGCCTTACTTCATTTTATTCTCATTCTGGTTTCATTGATTATTTCTGTTCTTCTTTGCCTCAATATTTTTCTTCATCCTTTCTGAGAGGTGGTCTACATTTACTTAAACATTCTAAAATAGTTGTTAAATTTGTCATCTTATTCCATCTATATATTGTAGAACGGACAGAGGATGTCAACCTCGTCATCGAGATCACGAGGAGAAACGATGTCTTGAAGAGAATCGAAGTCACTGTCGCAGTCGAGGTCAGTTTGCTCTTTCTGGTTAACGATTTCGAATCTTTAAAGGAGGACTAGTAGACGTCATTTGTAACATGAAGAAGAAAAAAACAAAAAGCAAGATTGTAGATAACTAAAATATAATTGCAATTGCTATTGAAAATGTAAATGATCTAAGTATGACGTTCTAATTATCTCACGTCTTCTTCATATGCATTGTCGTTTAAGAGATGATTATTTTGAAAGACATCGATGCATTGCTAGCATACAGAATAATCATCTGTTTTTTCATTTTTTCAATATTGTAATACAATCTCTCTTTCCAAACTTAAATAGGCCATCGACGTGGTGGATGTGCTCGAATCGATTCCCAGCACAATAAAGAAAGCGATCACGAAGGGACAACTGAAGATGAGGGTGACGGTTCAAGAGCAGGGTGACTTAGGAATGCTGGTCGGCAGCATCACACCCCTTCGAACATGCAACAGTGAGTCATTTTATCAATTTTCATGACTTGTCTTTAAGCTTTTCAATTCATATTTGACATAGAGTATAAGAACTCGTTTTATCTCATTTCATTACATTTATATATATATATATATATATATATATATATATATAAATAATATACTATAAACTCAACTGTAAATCTTAAAAGGGAGAATAGTAACAATAAAAATTACACTTCTGAAACTAGACTTTGATTTTTTTTCACTTTATATTATTATGTAAAATAAAAATGTCTGACGAATTATCTAACCTGTAATTTGCAAGAGAGTCTACATTAAGCCTAGCTAATTGGCACTCAGAATATCATCTCCCCAAAATCAATTTAGTGATAGCATGTGCTCTTTTTTATAATGAATAAGAAAATCAATCCTGATGTGTTATTGTCTGTATAATCATTGGCAGGCATTCACGCTGTACTATCTGGTAGTCAAGCTCTAGAGAGATCAAAGACCACTGGAGCTAGTGGATCTGCGGTATTCACCCTGGATGATGATGGGACAATCAATTACATGGTAAATACCTTTATTCATCCATCTTTCTTTGTATATTATTGTAACCGCTCTGCTAAAATTTGCAATTGTTTACTTCCACTACTGATTCGAAAATAACAAATTTATAACTCGTTGTATTTTTTTTACTCGTCAAGGTTCGATTGACTGGTCTACAAACAGAGGTCAGTGCCATCACCATCGAGATGCCGAGCAAGAACAGACGGAAGATCGTGGCTGATATCTTTGGAAACTATAGGGATGGACTGGTAAGCAAAGCCAGGCATTTTCGCTTAAGATTAATTTATGAGACGAATGGCTATATCATGGGAGGTTCACTCATATATTTTTACAGGAGAATATTTCGTCCAACATTCGAAAAGCGGTACCCTTTAAATGGTGTCCCCGAACTCTCCTGACAAGAATGCCAACCACTAAACGTCACCATGTTCACTGAATCCAAAGGCCATTACTAATACAATGAAGTGTTGAAATATGAACTTATGAATCTCTTTCCCATTTGTGATGCAGGCTCAGGGCAAGTGGCTACGACCCAAGCTCCGTGATGTCCAGATGTTTCTCCACGGTGAGCTATATGTGAATGTAGCTACAGGCGCCTTCACCACCTCGGAGCTGCGTGGACGCATCGTCCAACTTCCATACCAGGGTCACATCAGAAGGCATGCAAGTAAGTATACCTATCCCACCGCTGCCGCTCCTTAAGGATGCGTAGAATAGTCATTACTATTTCATCTGCTTAGAGCTAGAAGATAAATAAAACGCAAATAAGTATCCAAATCCTACTGCTGCCGCCCATCTACTGTAGTCCACGTTTAATAGTCTATTATTATTTCATCTGCTCCGAGTGCAATGGTCCAAATTTATCTTCCAAGTAAAAATCTACTATTCGTGTTTTTACCCATCTTTCATTTCACTCCCAAAGAAATGCCAATCCAGATGTCGGGGTCCCTCATGGATCCCGCTCAGGAGACTGGAGCAGCCGGTCATGCTTGGCTCTTACTCGATGAAGAATGCTCCCTCAATTACGAGATCGCCGTGGTAGGACTAAACAGCCTCACTGAAGACGACATCGGGACTGACAGCCCACCGACCACGCCTCACTTCTACGCTGAGATCGGCGAGATCGAATCTGGGGAGAGCCGAGTTCGCTTAGTTCTAAACGCCTTTAGAGGAAACAGCGTAAGTAGCCTCATAATTAGAGGTCGAAAGATATTTCAAAACTTTTTGCTTTTATTTTCATTCTCATTCTCATAAACTATAGTTACGGTGCAAAAGACATAACTTACAGGAATTTCACCATAAACTGTGTTTCCTCCATTCTGTTGAGTCTATACTCATCTTTAGACTCTTTACAATTGACGTTACGATCCCCTTTTTGGGATAACTATGATTATTAATTTGTTCAGCTGAAACAAGAGATAAATTTCATATGTACAGATAAATAAACACCCATATGAAAATGTTTGCACCGTTACATGTATATCTGAGTTGATGCAGTGGTGGCAAATTGCGAACATTTCAACATTTTCAGCAAGTTATTAAGTATTTGCCTTGTAGTAATGTTCTCATTATATCTATCCCATTTAGGCCCGAGGTACGTTAACAGACGTGAATCCTGGATTATTGGAGAGTATGGACAGGGGACAAGCTTTTATTCAGATCAGTACCAAGAACCATCGAGAAGGCGAAATCAGAGGACAGGTGAGTTTTAAAATCCTTCTTTGAATTGGCAACGCTTGAGTGCTGCGGAAAACCTTTATGATTGGGTTAGGATATTATGAGTGTGCACAGTTGATCTAGATAGTGCGTACAAATGCTTAAAGGCTGATGATGTTGAAGCATATGATTATTGACTACAATCCCTTTAGTTGGTGTGAACTCATTAGAAGAAACGAAGAAACCGGCATTATTTTTAATGTGTCAGCTGAAATAAATGTGGATGCGACTTAAGGTGAGACTCATGACTGAATTTTTGATCCCAGACGCATAATACGAATGAATTTGATTTTCATGGTAATGATGATGGTGATGACGGTGATGATAAAGATAATAATAATGATGTTATTTTTCTTTGATTATCAGATCATCCTGCCTAACACTTGTCATGGTGCATCCAATGGTAACAACCTCGTCCCCGTCAACGATCCCATGCCCGCCATTAACGTCGATGACGACCCAAACTCGTGCTTCTTCGAAGGTCGATATCATGCTCCGATGTCGACCTGGTCACCGGACTACGACAGGAACTGCACCACATGCACTTGCAAGGTAGGGTTACAAAGACTGATGCAACACATTAATCTGCATTTGCCACTCTCAACCCAAGTGTAGTAAATAGGAACCTGGTAGAATGCTGTTCTTAACGCACTGTGCACTGATAACGGCTGCTGGAGCTGAAGCAGAGTAATACTTTTCAAATCAATTTGAAAACGTTACATCATAATAAAGTGAAATGTGCTATACAAGAAGTAATATTTGAATCCTTATTCTTGTTTTCATGGACTTGTCTTTGATGATTTTTATCGGTAATCAATGTATTCATTAGTCTTTTTTTTTACTTTTTCGTTAGAGTTCCTCTAATATCAGCATTTGATCTTAATTTTCATCGTTATTTGCCATGTTCCTCTCAACAGAAAACTGTGACTATCTGCGACCCTGTGATTTGTCCAGAGCTGTCATGTGACAACCCCGTCACAGCTCCTGGTGAGTGCTGTCCATCGTGTCCGAAACGTAAGTTCAACCTTTCATCTTGAATTGTCTTCACAATTCATATTGTCGATCTATAAAACCAATCCTTCAATTTATTTTTACGATATCTTCAATTGTTGGATATTATATCTTTAGAATTTCCTTTGTGTTTTTACTTATTAGATGATGTTGCTGGTTTTAGGATTTTAAGGTCCATTCCAATGTAATCGTACTTTGCATGAACTTGTTGTAATTAGTACATCAAAGTCACGCTCATTGATCTTATATGGAATGGGGTATGGGATACTCGTATGACCCCCGATGAAAGTGTAAACTTTCATTTTAATTGAAGTTTGTGTCAGCTTCGTAGACAATCGAAACCCAAGGATTAAGCCTTGTTAAAGCAGGGGGTATTAGGCAATGACTGAATTAACTTAATTTCCGACATCTACGCCCGCTTCCTCACTGTCTTCCCAAAGGGTGTTGAAGTGCCAGTTCGGGGAGGGAAAGAGCTCCGTTATTGGTGTAATCCTTGTCAGGGGTAATTCACGTACCCCTATCGTCGCCAGCACTGCCCACCCCCACTCTGTTTAAATTATGTGCTATCTGATGGCTCAGTGCTAATCACAATCAGTGTAGCGGTGCACAACCGCTACTTCGATGTTTATTAGAGGGCAATGGGAACGACGCTGAAGAGTGCAATCGCATCTTCAATGTTTTCACTAGCAATCAATAAAAGAATGTCATGTTTGATCTGCGGGGTAATGATTAGAGGACCCTGGGTACGATGGCTATAAAGGAGAGTGGGAGAGACAAAGGAAGAAGGAGATGGGTTGCGAGGCGATGTGGATGACGAGATAAAGGCATTTGGTGAAGAAAAGGATAGAGGGAGGGAGAGAATGAGACAGAACGACAGACAGACAGGGATTCAGTAGAATTAAGAGAGACAGAAAGAGAAAGAGAGAGGATAGAGTAGTGATAGAAGACACAGAGACAGACACAGAGAGAGACAGAGAGAGAGAGAGAGAGAGAGAGAGAGAGAGGGGAGAAAGGAGGGGGAATACACGGGAAAAGGGATGGAGAGGGAGAGAGAAAGAGAAATAAGGTCAATGTCATACTTTCGCATAATTCTCACGAGAAATTCTCGAGAGGCAGAAAAGGTGCCAAAATGGACGATGATAAAAATTGTATACTGCAATTCTATGCCCTCAGGCTATCGAAACTATTCAACGTAATGAACGGAGATTGCAAAATGAGTGTTAAATTGGATACAGGTATCCAATTGCAGAAAAGCAGTGATTTTACAAATATTTTTTTATTTGCTATAATTGTATAGCCATTGAGCAATTTGTCGGCGGAAAGAATCGATATTTGAAGTCTCTGTCGGCAGAAGATAACTGTATAAAGAAAGAAAAATATTTTCTAATGCTATTTTTTCTAAATATTATGTGTATGGCAATAATTCAGAGAATCATTCCGATTACTATACGATGATTTAAAAAGATACGGTACGGTATTATGGCCAAGACCGGCAAATATCATGGTTTAAGCTTAACTTTCAAGTTCAAGTTCAAGTTCAAGTTTTATTTCCACATGTGGTTCATAAAAAACAATAAGTATACATACATGTTCAGACGTATAAAAAATACACAATTAACAAACAATAATATTAAGAGAAACAAATAGCGAACAAAATCTAAGAACAACTAAATACATGTGATAATATGATAACTGCTGCATTAAACATGTTAAAGAAGTAAAGAATCAGCCGGACTTGTCGTTTATTATACAAATAATACACAGCAGTGAGGGCATTAGTAAGAATTACCCACACAAGGTACCTTTGGAATAGTCTAACACGCCCGAGGCGGTATAGCAGAGGACGTTTGGACTGTTTCGAAGGTACCGAGTGTGGGTAATTTTACTAAATTTCCGAACAAATTTGTGTATTATTTGTTTTATAAGATGATGTTGTATTTGTTTTATAAATTTGTTTTTTCTAACATGATTTTATACTTATGACAAATACCAATGACCGGTCATTATCAAAATTACGTGTTAGGCAAAATAAATGCCTGGTCACGTGTACCCTCTCAACCAATATGAGGATCCACGTCATCATTTTATTACAATATTTGTTTATCGTTACGCATTTTCATAGTATGGATATTTTTGTCCGGTAAACAAAACTTATCTTGTTTAATTGATATCGCATGTTTATTAGATTTTTTTTATTTCAATATTTCTTTCCCCCTTCTACTTGAAACAGCGGAAGAGCCGGAAGAGCCAGGCTGCCATTTTAAGGGTGACAAAAAGGTACATCGCGTCGGGACCCAATGGCACCCGTACATTCCCCCATTCGGATACACTAGATGCGTGCTATGTACTTGCATGGTTAGTTTGGATTAAGCCTTTCATTTCAAACGACTTGATATTCTTTTCTTCCATTTTCTATGAGTTCTCAATTTTCAATTGTTTGCGTGTGTGATGCATTTCAGATCAGCAGGGAGCGATGAAAGACATATTCAAAGGAATTCTTGCGAAAATACTTTTTTGGTGATGATTTATTGTGACGATATTTGGAGAAGCAGAATTCTTTTAAACTGAACTTACTCCTTTCACATTAACGGAAAAGACAAATTTCAAGCCTATGCCTTAAAATTGTTATGATGAATATTTTGGAGAGAATGTGGGCAGTGTACACATGATTTAGTCCTTCCATGCCTATAACAAATACTTGAGGAAAAAACAATGTGCTTTTCAACTAGCTTTAAGAGATACACTTCCTGTTTATTCAATCATTTATGAAGTGTTGGGAAAAGAATGTGTCTTCCATCAGCTTCAATAACATTTTATAAACATTCACGACAAACGTCATGAGTTACATGGTCTATGCTTTCGTTTCATTGCTGCAAACACGAAAATAAAAATGGAAATCTAGCGTGATATTTGTGAAAAGATTTTTAGTTATCTTTTGTGATAAAGATCTGTTTGATTTATTTATACTTTATTGTTGTTGTTGTTGTTGTCATGATTATGACGACCATTTTACATTGTTATGGACATGTGATCATATCATCTCTTTTAAAAAGAGAGAAAAAGAAGAAAACATTAAAAAAAACTGCCTTTTTTCACTGACAGTATCATGTCTTTTCACTGCATTTCATTTACATCTTGAAATTATTATCTTTTCATTATTATTTTTGTTTCATTTGCTGGAATATGACGTGATGTTGGTTATTATATTTGATTTTATAATACATGTGTTCCATTGTCGACTGTTCATGCTTATTTTGCTTCTGACAAGAAATGTAAATGTGGGCAATGTTGCACAAACGAATTAGAGCAATACTTCTCATGTTACGGCTTCAAACCTGGTCGGTTGATTTAAGTCATAAATTAGGAGCCGTGATTCTGATGTACTGTTTGGGGGACAATTTTATACGATCATGTATATATATACCTTCGCTCGCAAATTTAATTCAATATCATGCTCCGTATCTCGTGTAATTTTGACTTGCAGTGGAATTTCATCACACTACAGCCTAATTTGATTCCAAGATGTTAAAATGAAGGTATTCAAATTCTCATAAAGCAATGAATGTTTTTGCATATATCCATCTTCCTATCGTCACAGAAGAATATATTTCACCATATTCGTGAAAACCAATACTATCACTATTGATTATTGACATGTTACCATTGGTCAAAAATCTTACTGTGCCTGTCTTCATTTTCTCATTTGCCTTACAGCCGGGTGGCAACCTAAACTGTTCAAGACTCGCCTGTCCGTCATTGGATTGTCCTAAACCAATTCGACTAAACGCTAATGATTGCTGTCAAGTTTGTCCAGGTAATGATTATTATTCAATTTGGTAAATCTGATTTTATCTAGAATCATTCCCCGGTGCAATGTATAGTAGTGGTCATTATAGTTTGATGGTAGTGGAGTATGTGTAAGTTTAACCGTTAACAAAGGTTGTAATAATTTTTTATGTTTTATGTTCAGTAGAGAAATAATGTTTTGCTTTCGCTTAAACTGATCTACAGATGTCATATATTCGTCAATTACGCACCTTGTATCACAGTGTCGCATATTTCAAAAAATAACATAGCAAAAGCAAGATATGGATGAATCTTTGGAAGTGTTTTAAATATCATTTAAATACAAACTAAACCAAGCATGAAAACAGAGGGCAGTACTGTATTCTTTAAGCTCATTGTTTTTTGTTTAAACTTGCTATAGAACCAGAACCAACTACCCCACAACCACCAATGGACGATACATTACTGCAGGCAGATGAAGTAGAAAAAGGTAAGTTGTTTCAAACTGCATGTTAAAATCGAACTAAATATGTTAAACAGGACCCTGCCAGGACTTTGAATGTTTACACATATGTAATTCGAGATAAAGCAGATGTTACGAATGAAAGTGTATAAAAGTATGTGATTGTATAACTTTCTTGTACTTATTTGTCTCTTTGCGCAATTCATACTCATAAAGTCATGTAGTCTGCTTTTCGTCTTCTTTTTCTTCTTCTTCATCCTGTTTATTCCTTCTTTGATCAACTTCTTCTCGTTTTTTCCTCCTTTTTCTACTTCTTCTTTGGTATTCTTTTCTCATTTCTTTTCCTTTTTCTTCTTCTGATTCTTCTTCTTATACTCATACTCCTTCTTTATCACCCTCTCTCCCTTTGTTTCCCTACACTCTTATCAATTTTCGTGTTGTATACTATATGTAAGGAATGGATTTCATCGACAAGTGCTGAATGTTGTTTATCGTACATTGTGAACCCGAAAATGTTGTATATTAGTTACATTGTTACAATGTTACGTATTTGCATGAAAGAATATGAAAAGGTGATTTTTAAATCCAAACATCCTATATGTACAATTGCATTCATGACGTGTAAAAGGCATGATTTGTATATGTCTGTCACCCCCTCTTCTCTTTATCCCTTTCCTTCCTCTATCTACCTCATATACACTGATAAATTTAACACACGATTCTTTGTTCTTCGTTCTTTTGTCCTTCTAAATCTGAACACCCTTTCTCTATTTTTGTTAACCGCTAATTTAAACTCTTTCTTCTCAATTCTTTCTTTGGTCTGATTCTTCGTGTCTTTATTTACTATTGTCCATTCTTTCGATTACATTCTCCAAGTCCCTTGTGTGATGCTCACTTGTTTCCCCAGTACCCCCAGTGCTTACATGTCGCATGTTTCTCGTTTTCCTCCTCTCTTTGTAGGATGTTCCTTCCTCGGTGAATTTTATAGAAATGGCGCTGAATGGCACCCTCTTGTGTCACCATTTGGTACAATGAGCTGCGTCAGATGTAGATGTCGGGTAAGCTTAACCTTTGACCTTAATGGAAAATGTCCACCATTCCTCAAAGCTCTACTGGAAATGTTTGTCTCACCCAGAAAAAGTTTAAGTGTCAATATAATAACTGTGACGTCATGTTAAGTATTTGCATGAAATATTGAAGTTATCAACTCCAGCGTTATTGTAATATGTATCCTAGTGGTCACATAATATGAAGTGATTGTTTTTGTTGAATGTTCTTGGTGTTTGTAAGACCACAGTATGTTATATTTTACACATAGATATCAAAGTTATGACAGGATAACTTAATCCAAACAAATTATGTAAGACTTGACAATATCCGTTTAAATACTTTTAATGGGTAAATACGATAACCGTTAAAAGTCTGTGAAACAATTTTTGAAATTGCCCTAGAGTTCTCTTGAATGTATTTCCTGATTTGATTTCCTCACGTTTCCTGTCCGGACTGTACACTTAAAAACACGATATCATCACATTTATTCATCACACTGATATCTTATTTTTACAGAATGGTCAGGCGAAATGCAAGGGAAGAACCTGTCCTCAGCTTAGTTGTAAAGAATCAATCAGAACTAAAGGCGAATGCTGCCCAAGATGTAAAGGTAAGATATTGCAGTGAGTTTAAATCAGCCATGTCCAAATAATAACGAACTGGCGTTATACTGTTTGGTTGAGCCTTGTACCAATGCAAAGATCTGCATGGAATAGAATGGAATACTGTAGTGTGACGAGTAAAAGAAATAAAGAAATAAAACTCTCTGAAATAAACAGAGACGAACAGTAAGATAGAGAAAGAGAGAACAAGAGACAATGTACCTGGTAAGTGTGTGTGTGTGTTTGAAAGATTGGAGAGATACAGATATTTTGATAGATAAAGAGATAAAGAGAGAAAAGAGGGATCAGCCTGCGTTATGTTCAGTGATCCTCGTATCAATAGGGACTTTTAGATTTGCACGAAGACAATGTGGATTGCTACGATCGACGTCCTTTTAATGCACTGCCTTGAATGGACGTCACATGTATCTGTCCACGCAAATCTAAAAGTCCCTAATGAAGAAAATAGCGTGGAACCGAACAAGGTGGTGTGAAGCAAAGTAAAAGAGAGGAAAACAGAGAGAGAGAGAGAGAGAGAAGTTTTGTAAAGCGAAGTAAAAGATAAAAAAAACAGGAATATAGAGATAGAGAGAAGGAGAGAGAGAGAGAAAGAGGCAGACACAGAGAGACAGAGAGGGGGAAAAGAGAGAGAGAGAGAGAGAGAGGGCTATATAACGAACTGTATGTACTTGACTTATGGCATGCTTATGAGTAGATGAAGAGCAATGTAATGGAAATCATTCTTTATCTGTGGTATTCAGATTGAGAATCTTCAAAGCTTGTACACTTTATATTTTGTCAGCTACTTCTGATAGATATTAATAATTCAATTCAATTCAAATAATTCTATTTCATAGCTAAATCAAAACATGCAAAAAATCCTTACATAAAGTGAAAATCAAATGACATTTGAGATATAACATAGAAAATGAAGCTTGTTTGATATTAATCGATTTAAATGTCGACAATTAATCAAAGCATTTAGAATACAGAATGTATAAGCATATCATAAAGTCGAATTTCAAAGAAAACGAGAAATGCTCTAAAAGGCAGAGATTTTATTTGTGTGGATTACTCTCTAAAAAGAAAAAAAAAAAGGAAGGAAAAAAGAAAGAAAGAAAAAGCAAATGAAATGAAATGGATAAACAAAATCCATTCGTATTTGAATAATAAATACATTTTTGTTAATAGAAATAGAAAAATACACAAATGCACTGCTCGGAAGGTAAAGCATTCATAAGCATGAATACATTATGAATACATTATTTCTCGTAAAAAATGTATACATTTTGCTAAATGTTGCTAACATTTTATCTTTTACCGTTATTTCTTTGCAGAAGACATGTTAACAGTGCCCACAACATTACCAACAATATTAGAGATTTCTGCGGAGAAGAAATCACGGAGGAAAGAAAAACTGTCATAGGGAAGCGCCCATTTTCACCCACGAACCCTTAGATAGCCCCATATCCACCTTCAAAAAGAGACATTTTGAGATCATTTTGTTGTGGATGTGCCACACCTTTCCTGAGATGCAGGGGTTGAAGAACAGAAAGGGACATTCAAAAGATGATGACTATTGATTGGAGTCCCTAACCGCCTGATTGTGAGATCACCAAAGATGGTGTGAAGATGATGCCGACATCCTCAATGTCAGAGGAATGGAAGGGGTCAGCTGTTGCAAGTTTAACGGACAAATGTAACCCGGATGCAGCAGTTGAATGATCACGTGATATTGAAAAGGTGGAGACGACTGACAAAAAAAACTACACTTATGATAGTGTTTGCCTCATGGGACAGAGATTGGGTACTGAACTTTCAAATTGATGCAGAAAAAATGAAAGAAAAAAAATCAAAGCATCACTGTATGACATCAATACCTTTACGATGCTTCCAAAAGAACGTTAAAACGACACGTGCGCACAACGAACGGAAGCATCCAGTTGATTTTGATTGGTAGCTCATCATGTCGCAGGCTTTCATGAAAATCAGATCATCGTGATAGAGTGACATGTTTACTTATGAGGACCTTAATAGGAATGAATGAAGTGAGATATGATTTTTATCTAAAAATAATATCTTTGCTAAAGTATCAAATACAACTCTGACCTCTAATATTGGAATCAACAAAATGTATATGTTTCATCAGATATTATTTCAATAACATTTTTGACGAACATTGCTTCATCTCATTAATAAGTAAAGGATATCTTGAACAGGATAATTAAACTAGTTAATTAGATCAAGGTTATACTTTTGCCAAATATATTCACAATTTTTAATTTGTTAAATTGGGAATGAAGATTTTAAGGACATAGTGTTCATTTCATTTTTAAATTATTGTAAGATCCACCACCCTCATTTGTCAACTAAGTATTTTAATATTGTAAAATGCAAAAATAGAGTAGAAGCCGAAATAAATTGCTGATACAAAATCGTCTTGAGGTGAAGTAAATTTTATTCAGATTAAAACTAAATTATCTTTTAATGTTGAAAAAGTTCACAAGGTAAACGTAACATAATGAATGGAACATGATATTAATAATATAACACTAACTGTCATGTATCTAGGAGAAAAAAATATTATTATGGTTTGTTTCTGTCTATGTTGAACTTAAACGTGTGTGATAGGTCGTAAACTAATTGAGAAAACTGATCGAGAAATATTAATAAATAATAAGATGAGTAGATGACATAGTCTACATGACAGATTTGGAATGTAGTTTGACAATAAAACAGTAGTATAAAGTATTACCAATAACCATATGATTAAAAAGATAATCCTCACATTCCCTATGTAATATTTTGTATTAAAAAGCAATAACTTTATATATTATCTGATAAAATTATTCGTATCTTAAACACGTTTTATTTACTCATACGTATAAAATCGTAACAACATTCTTACCTTCTTTTTCTCCTTTAATATTTAATAGATTGTGCTAAATATAAATAATTTCGAACAATGAGAAAATATATATAACTTATTTGAAAACGTGCGTTGCTCATCATTTATGCACATCTTGACAACATGAAGACAATATACAGACTGAAAATGCTTGACAATCAACTATATACTATATGCGTTTGTTTGAAGGTGTTCAAGAGTTTAACTGATAATCAACGATGTAAAAACAATCTTAGTAGTATTATGATACACATTAATCAATACCTATAGACCGAATACTTCAGTATTTAATAGTGCATCAAGGCAATACGTGTTCCTTAATGTTGCGATTTTCTTTTTATTTATTTTTGTCTAACATGTTTTCCTTACATTGAGTCACAAAATGCATTCGCAATCATGATTTGTTGGTTGTATTCAAGTTCTATTGATTCCTCTTCGATGGGTACAAGACTTGGTTGAGATTTATAGATGTGTTATTTATTCTGTACAAATGCCAAAGTAAAAGATGTATTCGTGAATATTTCGCAAACATAAAATAGACAACATTTATAACTTTGATTTCTATTTTTAATCATACTTGTGCTTTATGTGTAGAAAGTAAAGTGTAAGATTAACATCGTGATACACAATTAAAATAATGAATACAAAGTACATTTAGATAAATCTAGAATATTTTGTTCTCTGCGGTTAAGAATTAAATGTTTTACAGTGCATTTACGTTCAATAATATATCTGTACAAAATATTAGAGCAAAATATGATATTTAAAAGTCCTAAGCGTGTTAGCATAGGATGAGTTCCTTTTTATTTTTGTACGAAATGATATATCTCAAATTGATTACAATTATTTACACACTATTGATATTTTCTTTTTTTTTTTTTTTTTACTAGTGCGACGTGTTAACGTGTGTTAATAAATGTGAACGAACATACAGTATTTTTGTTTAAGTGAATTTATCGGAGTGTTGGCTCAGTCAGTAGAGCATCCGCCTCACAACCGGGAGGTCGTGGGTTCGAACCCCGGCCGCGTCATACCAAAAGACGTTAAAAGATGGGAGTTGTTGCTACCTTGTTAGGCCTTCAACAGTAAGGGATAGAGCAACGTCCATCTAGCGCTGCTCAGTGGCTGCCGGGCTCACGATCAATTGGGCAAAAAGAATTTCCGTTTCGGTTTAATAAAATTTGGAGTAGACTATTAGGCTTTCATTATTATTATTATTATTATTATTATTATCATTATTATTATTATTTATCATTCTCCTCGTGAGATATTCTTTTCTTTAGAATTATTTTTTTAAATCGTGATCCTTTGTGTGGACACAAACTAATCAGTAATACTATTCACATATGGCGCGAATTTCCACCCAGTGCAGCACTGTAAAATTCAAAACGCGCGCCTTAGTTTGAGTTCGTAATGAACAAATCTTGCAATGGTGTAGAAGTCAAAATCTGTTGCCTAATGTGGAAACGTATTTTTAGAGGAGCAGAGTCGGTTGTGTATAACTTGCATAAATTATATATTATGGATTGGTGTATTTAATACAGTATTGTTTGTATTTTGCAATGAACATATGTTGACTTGTGTAATTATGCTAAGAAATGATTGAATTTGACTATGAATAAATGAATTGAAATGATAAAATGAAAATGAAATTCAGCTGTTCATGTGTTTTATCTCTGTGCTGCGCAATATATTATGATTATATGTCACGTGATCTCATCTGACCATTTGGGTGGCGAGTTCATAATATTTAAATGCATGAGTAAGCTATTTGTTACGAACCTCATGCACATTCATGTTGTTAGTTTGCGCATGAGCAGAAGACTTTTGAGGGGGGGAAAATCTTATTTTTGATTAAAAACCTATATGACCCTCTGCACAGGTAAAATTATTATTTTGTTATGCATAAATTTTGTTTTTTTAATATTGTGTCGTGAAGTACAGAATGATGTAATTGTTTATTCTAATGTCACCTTGTAGTGATATATTGCTGTACAGTATAGACATACTATTTCGTTAATCATCCCATATCTCTCCCTGGAATGCTTATATAAATTGGCATCGTACTCAAAGTGCATCCATTAAAGTTTAAACAATGCGTCAACTATTTATAAATTTGAGGGACTATGTTCAATGCCTGTTTTCCTTATGGGGAACAAAAGGCAAAGGGGGAACCATTTTGCCATTTTGAACTCCTCTGTACAAAATCATAACTACAGTTGCGGAACCGAATAGAAAAAAATTACATTATGAATACAATGGCAAGGAATACAAAACATAGCTACATAAATGTACATTCAAAACATCACAGATAATATCATTGACGAAACGTTTAATAAAATAGATTGGTATCTCTGAGGTATGAAGTTTGATCTGAATAGCGAAGTTGTCGATACGGATTTAAACTATGAATTTTGATAAAATGTAATTCGATTTGGTTCTATATCATCCCACCTCTCCACCATGTCCATGGTCTCTCTCTCGCTCTCTCTCTCTCTCTCTCTCTCTCTCTCTATCTCTCTCCTTCTCTTCTCTTTCTATATTTATATCTACAGTGTATCTCAATTTCGCTCCCTACCTCTCTCTGAGTGGCCGATCCTTTCTATCTAAACTTTTTAAAACCCAAATACTGGGTGAAAAATGCCAAACATTGGTTTACTAATGTGTAAAACAAACATATTGGCTAACTATGTCCAACCGGAAAATATATTGTCCGGTATCGCGCTATTCTCTGCCTGATATGAACAGCAATTGGCCAACAAAAAAAAATCTTTGGTGGGTATGAGAATGTTAATGGGACACAAAAATGCCAAAAGTTCAATAATTTCTACCAACTATTTTCTAGTAGGGTGCGACGCCATTTTAATGTCATACGCAATTTAGTTTTTACACCCGTTTTCCTCCCCTCCCTCCTAAATACATAATAACTCTGTCTATGTCATTTCCTCTATCACTGTTCTGGACCATAATCTTCCCCTCGCCACTATCGCTCCCTAACATGGTCTTTGTGATCGGATTCCATGGAAGACGACCAACTAGAAGTCGTGAATGCCTATGTCCATGGATGGTGGAGAATCATCGGGGACGTTCAGCGTTAAATCACAGTCGCTGTCGCTCTGATCGTTCTGCTCGCTGGAGTAAGCCGATCCAATAGTCCCGGCGGTCCTACCAGTCAACCAATAGGTCGTCATCGTACCTTTGTCCTGAAAATGGGTGAAAGGGATAAAAACATAAGGACTCCTGCAAGACAAGCTCTGTTTTTTTTTTAAAGACTTTCTTCTATTATACATTTCCTAATATATTTCTGTTTTTTTTTCGCGGACTATCGGTCTAATGAACCTTTTGTAAATGTCGATCCCGTGGTTTGTCGGTCTAATGGGATGCCCCCCCCCCCCCACTCCGGGAACGGAGGGACCGCATGCGTGTTCCCAAAATCTCCGGCTTGTAACAAAAGAAAAAGGTCTACACCGGACTTATGCTGAAAGGGAGGGGGTTGAAAAGGCTCGTATAGCAAAAGAAAAAGGTCTACCCGTATTGACTTTACACACCGGACTTATGCTGAATGGAGGGGGGGGGGTGCTGGGAACACGCATATGCGTACCCTAAAAAACACTGAGTGGGGGGGGGGCGGGCTGGGATGACCCCGAAGAAAAAGATGAAACGCATAACTTACCGTAAGTAGCACCTCGCCTCTGCGAACCATAGTGTATCCACCCGTGATCTTAAGAATGCGATGGCAATCATCACTGATCTGAATCCGATTTGCTGCACACAAAAAAGAAGCAAACAAAAGAAGACATTTCTTATGCTAAGAGATTAAATTTGCAGCGCATAGACCGGTAAAGAACAGAAACTCTCTTAGAATGAGAAGAGTCCGTCCTTTAATTGACAGGTCCTCTCCAGACGTACGGGGTGTGCGAACTGTAATTGGCAGATATATGGGCATTCAAAGAGGGGATGGTAGGCCTACCTGCTTAAACTAACGCTGGATATAATACGCCTGCATCTCTCCCTCATGTTCTTCCTCATCCAATATCAAATGGCGCCCTTTCAAATGAATCGCATCGTATTTAACCGCAAAGGGATGTTTTAGATTTTAGCTATAGAGGGATGTTACTTACGTAATCCATTCGACTCCATCTTAGATGCAATATTGACAGTCTCGCCAAAGAGACAGTACCTTGGCATTTTGGAACCAACAATACCAGCTACCACCGGTCCTACAGGTAGAAAATGCATATGATACCTTCATGTAAAACATTATTATTGTCAAAAATAGAGAAATTACAAATGTTCGTTGTTTAGCCTTATCACTTTTATGTAGCCTCATACACATGCATATTTATTTCTCCGGAGTCGGAAGTGGCATATGTAGATTGGTGTTGTAGTTTTTTCATCTAATCACTGAATAGTCACAGTACTTTGTATGTCAACAACATTTTATGCCGTAATTAACTTCACATCTGGTAATTTACATGCGAGAATCCTTGCACATCCTTCCAGTGTTGATTACGCATATTGTATTCTTTCGCACCTGGACCGCGTTGCATAAAACTTACTATTGATGGTAACTGTGCCATCAATGATAACTACCATGGACACTTTGATTTTGATTGGCTGTTGAGCTCCGTTACCATGGTAGTTGCCATTGATGGCAAAGTTACCATCAGTTGTAAGTTTTATGCAACGGAGCCCTGGACTTGATATATTTCGTAACCATGGTTCGTTTTTCTGGATTGATCAATCACGGCCTTCTATAACCACATTTCTCTCGGAGAACTTCACTTTGATGTTCGTCCTCTCTTCGAGCGGTACGTATTAATGGGACAGTCTTTTAGTGATTTTAGCACCCTTTTCGTCCGGAACTCTCGGGGTCTTTTACCTCCCAATTTATTAGCGAATGAGTAACCAGGCTTCTTGCGTAATGATAGGGAAGGATTTCGGTGATTGCGATATTTTCAGACTGATTATTTTCTAGCTGTATATATTTAATCGGGGACTTCATCTTCTCGAAAACTTCCGCTGTAACACCGTGACAGTAGAAGTGTCGACATTGGAATGTTCTTACTCTTATAGTGACGACCTACGCTTCTCCACTAGTTTTGATATTTATTTTCAATGATCTTTGCAAGTATTCTTCAGAAAGCTTCAAACTAGTGGTGAGTGGAGTCCAATCCTTTTTTAAAGATTTTTACGATGTCTTGGCAATGAACGATAGTCCCACGGTCGGGATTCGAACCCGTGCCATAATTATACTCTGAAGACTTGTCTACGATAGTACTAGCCCGTATGACACGTTTAGGATCACACTATTGATCCTGGGTATATAATGGAGTTATTCCTTAATTTGATTAGAGTTAACTCTGTATCCTTCTGTTATTTAGTAATTTTTATACACATTTTCCCTTAGAACTAGGATTTGTTTGTGTTGTGTTGTTTTGTTTGTTTACAGGGAATGTTAATGAATATTTTTTTGTTAAGTAAACAAGGCTTCATTGTCCTCAACAGCTGACAGTTGTCACCATCTTAATGCAGTATACTTTGTTAAAGGAAGTAGATTAAGAAGGGGGCGTTAATTCAACGTTACTCACCAGTATGTATTCCAATCCTGAGTGTCATCTTAGTACCAGGTCGATGGGGGATGACCAAACCTTTGATACAGTTGAGAAGGTCCAGAGCCATCAAGGCGATCTCACTGGCGTGTTTGTTCCCATTACGCTGTGGAACGCCTGGGGGACAAACAAATATTGATAATACTCCTGATCTTCTGAAACTTTGTGTTCTGAACATGGTCAAAGTGCAAGTGAGCATAGCGGCATATCAACATGACGTTTGATTGTCTTGTCTCATTGGCTTTTAAGGGGGCATTTTGTCATATTTATTAACTATATATATTTTAATAACACCAGTTGTATTTTCATTTTCCAATTCTCATGTACTGTTCATTATTTTGTTCCGTTAAAACATGATCACATGTCCTTTAATTCCTACTATTCTTTGAAAAATAATCACAATGGATTTTATATCCCTGTCATGAATATTATTTGTCTGCGGTACGATTGTATATAGCAGGCAAATGTTGTTTGTTTCGTTAATGAATGCATACTTATGTTGGGTTCGGGGCCGTCGCCCGGTGGAAGTAATTTGCATAGGCAGCTCGTACAGGTGCGCGAGCTTCCGCCACGGATACCAGGGCGTGGCATCAATTCATGTGTAATATATTCATTATATTCTAGCTCGAACTTTCAACGAGACAACTTTTATTTACAATGAAAGTGCGATGTGCTATGTTTTGTTACGACATGGGTCATAAGGTTTTCCAGAGTCTTTATTCTGGTTGAGTTTTACCTATGCTTTTTAATCCTGGACCATGGTCGGTCCAGTTCCTGAAGGACCTGAGAAGAAATGTTTGTTAAACATTCGTACTGAATAAACCGCCGGCTCCGAGTAGTCGTTGTCAAGTTATCCCACAATATTATATTAAATTGAAGTGTATTACAGGCGCGGATCCAGGATTTTCCAATAGGGTGGGCCGGAAATTTGAAAATTGCGCAGACCATTTTTCAACTCAACATACCAATACTGACAAGGTCTTATTAGAAGCACCATACCTGTTCAATTTTTGACATTTTCATCGGGGGGGGGGGGCTATAGCCTCTTGTCCGATAAAGTAATTTTCTGATTTCACAATTCGGCTAGTGAGCGAAGCGAGCGAGCAAAAATTTGAGCATAATATGTATTTTGTGAAAGAGTTATTTATCACCAAAATAAACGAGAAAAGATATAAAAAAAACTCATATTTGGGCAGCTCGCTATCTCTCCCCCCCCCCATTACGCGCGAAGCGCAGAAGCTTTGAGCTTACTTTAATTGTTAGAGAAAGCAGACAATTTGTGGTACCATTCTCGACTCGTATTCGTTGTCTGAATTCAGTTTTTCCCCCTCCCGCGCAAAGCGCGGAAGCTTTGAACTTTTCATAGTATAATGAAATTATTAGAGAAAGATGATTCGTTGTTCCATTTTCTTTTAATCCTTCTCTCAATTCAGTTTTCTCCCTCAAGCGCTTTGCGCGGAAGCTTAACATTTAATAAATTATTAGAGAAAGAAGACGATTCGTTGTACCGTTCTCGACTCTGTATCCTTGTCTGAATTGAGTTCCCTCCACCCCCCCTCTTCCCGCGCAAAGCGCGGAAGCTTTGACGTTTCATTAACTTATTAGAGAAAGAATGCGATTCATTGTACCGTTCTCGACTTTTAATCCTTGTCTGAATTCAGTTGCCCCCCTCCCGAGCGAAGCGCGGAAGCTTTGATATTTCATTAAATTATTAGAGAAAGAAGATGATTCGTTGTTCCATTCTCGACTCTTAATCCTTGTCTGAATTGATTCCCCCCCCCCCTCCCACGCGAAGCGTGGAAGCTTTGACGTTTAATTAAATTATAAGGGAAAGAAGACGATTCTTTGTACCATTCTCGACTCTTAATCCTTGTCTGAATTCAGTTTTCCCCGCCCGCGCGTAGCGCGTATAAGCTATGACGCTTCATTAAATTATTAGATGAAGAAGACTATTCGTTGTACCATTTTCGTCTCTTAATCCTTGTCTGAATTCAGTTGCCCCCCTCCCGAGCGAAGCGCGGAAGCTTTGATATTTCATTAAATTATTAGAGAAAGAAGATGATTCGTTGTTCCATTCTCGACTCTTAATCCTTGTCTGAATTGATTCCCCCCCTCCCACGCGAAGCGTGGAAGCTTTGACGTTTCATTAAATTATAAGGGAAAGAAGACGATTCTTTGTACCATTCTCGACTCTTAATCCTTGTCTGAATTCAGTTTTCCCCGCCCGCGCGTAGCGCGTATAAGCTATGACGCTTCATTAAATTATTAGATGAAGAAGACGATTCGTTGTACCATTTTCGTCTCTTAATCCTAGTCTGAATTCAGTTGCCCCCCCCCCCCTCCCGAGCGAAGCGCGGAAGCTTTGATATTTCATTAAATTATTAGAGAAAGAAGATGATTCGTTGTTCCATTCTCGACTCTTAATCCTTGTCTGAATTGATTCCCCCCTCCCACGCGAAGCGTGGAAGCTTTGACGTTTCATTAAATTATAAGGGAAAGAAGACGATTCTTTGTACCATTCTCGACTCTTAATCCTTGTCTGAATTCAGTTTTCCCCGCCCGCGCGTAGCGCGTATAAGCTATGACGCTTCATTAGATTATTAGATGAAGAAGACTATTCGTTGTACCATTTTCGTCTCTTAATCCTTGTCTGAATTCAGTTGCCCCCCTCCCGAGCGAAGCGCAGAAGCTTTGATATTTCATTAAATTATTAGAGAAAGAAGATAATTCGTTGTTCCATTCTCGACTCTTAATCCTTGTCTGAATTGACTACCCCCCCCCCCCCCCTCCCACGCGAAGCGTGGAAGCTTTGACGTTTCATTAAATTATAAGGGAAAGAAGACGATTCTTTGTACCATTCTCGACTCTTAATCCTTGTCTGAATTCAGTTTTCCCCGCCCGCGCGTAGCACGTATAAGCTGTGACGCTTCATTAAATTATTAGATGAAGAAGACGATTCGTTGTACCATTTTCGTCTCTTAATCCTTGTCTGAATTCAGTTGCCCCCCTCCCGAGCGAAGCGCGGAAGCTTTGATATTTCATTAAATTATTAGAGAAAGAAGACGATTCGTTGTACCGTTCTCGACTTTCTTTGTCTGCTCCTTTTTCGTCTTATGTCCTCTTACTGCCCCTACCGCTCCTGGCTACGCGCCTGCTTTAAAGGGAAAATGAAACAATCATGATTGTGATTACACAATTAGGTTAGTAGAAATGAAAGGGAAAAAAGATCTATTACACCAACCACGGATAAATCACGGCCGGGAGCGTCATATCAAGTTTTGTGTTATCGGGCGAGGGCCGGGGCGTAGCGACCAAGCGAGATTTTGCAATGTTGAATGCTGAAATTATGCATTCTAGACGAATATGTACGTTCTTTCCGCTATATTTCTTTCTAGTTATATTTTTTAATTTCCTGGGGGACGTGTCCCCCTATCGGGCCCAAGATTGCCGCCCCTGCCCATGATTACTACCAACATGAGTTCAAATACAAATCCAAATGAAGGGCAAAATAAGAGTTGTGAAGCGGCCCTACCGTTAATTTAAAATTTGACTGTTGAGTATATAGCTTCTATTTAAATGACATCCAAAATATTGTGTCCTTTTCAAATTTCTCACTAAAGAGTAATGACCTTTGTAGCGCAGGGGCTGTTTTAACGTTTAACTTTGAATCCGCGGCTCGAGATTTTATGCGGCAGGCCCAGCCCTCTCTATTCAATAATGTTTGCCAAGCCTTCTGGAATGACCCCAAATCTCCCGATTACAGTTTTCCCTTATTCAATTGCCATTTTATAACACAGATGATGATTGTGAAAGTGATAATACAATCAATGGACCCCTATTTTTTACGGGGAAGGAGGATGATTCTGATATCGAAAACGATATATTCAAATCTTTGGATAAATTCAATGGCTTTAATATAGCTCACTTAAATGTTTGTTCTTTGTTAAAAAATATTGAAGAAATACGAAATATTATAATGGGAAATAATTTTCATGTTGTGACTTTTTGTGAGAAAAGACTCGATGATAGTATCACGAATGACGATGTATCTGTGCCAGGTTATCGTAATCTAAGAAGAGATAGAAACAGATCTGGAGGAGGAATAATCGTATATTTTCAAGAATCTGCAAATTGTACAGTCCTTACTGAGCTACAATCTAATTCTCTTGAATTGTTATGTATTCAGGTTAATTTATCTCATCAAAAGCCTTGTATACGTATTCCATGGTATAGGCCCCCCGATTCAAGTATTCATGTTTTTGATTTGCTTGAAACTGTCTTAGAAAATGTGGAAGCCACATCCTTAGACTATCTGTTGATTAGTGACATAAACTGTGACTTGTTACAGAATAATCCCACTTGTCATACTAAACGATTGTTACAAATTGCTCGTGAGTATAATTTGCACCAACACGTTGTAAAACCAACGCGTGTTACCCAGTCTACGAGTACTTTAATTGATTGTGCATTTTCCTCAAATATATCTAAAATCAAGCAATGTGAAATTTTTTGTGTTACTTTAAGTGACCATTACATGGTTGGTCTTTCATGGGGTAATACTAAACCCCCCTCTAATGATAATCATTGTTATACTCGTTCTCGTAACACGAAGAAAATTGATTTTGACCAGTTAAATCAAGAATTACAAGATATCGCATGGGATGATGTTTTAGGTAATGACGCTGTGCAAAAGGCTTTACAATACATGGGAAACCAAATTTAGTGCTATTCTAGATCGCCACGCACCTGTAAAAAAGAAAAGAGTGGGTCAAAAAAGGTCGCCGTGGATGAATAAATTGATTCTTGACAGTATGCATAGACGCGATCGCTTTAAAAGAATTGCTAAAAGGTCGAAGTCTGATAGGGACTGGCAACACTATAGAAATTTGCGAAATCTTGTAACTTCTCTTATAAGGAAGGAAAAAAAGAAATATATCACTGTAAATATTCTAAAGAATAGAGGAAATTCCGGTGAAATGTGGAAGTTGTTAAAGCTTTTATGTCCTCAAAAAATGAATATCAAACTTGTTCAAAAAATTATTGTCAATAATACTGAATTTATTGGAAATAAATCTATTCTTTTTTTCTCTTCTTTTCTTCCCTTTTTTCTTCTTTTTTTGCGCCGCCAATAGGGGGGGGGGCGCGGCCGTTTCGGCCCCCCTGGATCCGCCACTGTATTATTGTGTTATTTATTTGTTTCGGGAGTCAAGAGGGATGACAGACAAAATAATATGAAGTTATAGGACAGACGATGCACTTGTTTGCCATTCGATAGGATTTTTTTTTTTTTTTTTTTGGGGGGGGGGCACCCTCCCCTTTACTTATGTCCATGTGGATACTAAGCATCTCATCGATTAGATTTAAGCAATTTTTTACCTGATACAACCATGTACGCGTCTCCGATCGTCTCTACTTTGTACACATTGTAGGTATCGATCCTGCTATCGAAGTTTGTGTACACATTGTTCAACATGTCGACCACCTGTTAAGAAATGAAGACAAATTAAAACGTTTTTATTACTCATGTTTTAGTAAACTCCATAAACACAAAGGGGAAGTTCTAAATCAATCAAGAAAACAATATGTTCTCGTCTGCGAGCCTACCATGCAATGTTTATCATTAGTGGTGAAAGGTTTTGGTCACTCTCGAAAATGAGAGCTTATTTCCACTAGCTATAAACAAATAAAACTGAATGAATGCTTTTAAATCTTTCATTTAAATACACGATGAACATGCTTAGGGATTCATAGTTTATTATGCTATCGAAAAAAGTACCTGCAGTGGGGAACTTTCGGAGCAGATCCGAGTGAATCCGACAATATCCGAAAACAGAATCGTGGCTGCTGTAAAGTTTTCGGCGTGAACGACCTGGTTGCGTTTCAGGTTCTCGGCAACCGAAATAGGCAACATCTGATAGAGCAGCGTATCCGTCCGCTTTCGCTCTTTATGAAGCGCCTTGGTTTGGTCAGCCAGCGTAAGAACGTAGTTCTGCATGTTAGAAGTGAGTGATTCAACGGCCTTGATTATGATGACACAAAGAAAAACGACTAACACCATGATGCTGATGCTGACGGCGAGATCGGCGTTGTCGGTGGTCACAGCGGAGTTCAGTTCGTTGAGAATCACCTGGTAGGTAGTTGATGAAACGTAATATTTTTAGGAAAAAGCTCAACTTGACTTCATTCATATAAAATGAAATGTAAAAAAGGTTGGGCGGATGTTACTGGGTAAATCGAATTTGGGCAGATGTTGTCCAATAATAGGGTTATTTTCTACCAGCCATGTAGTTTTACCGATGAAATAATTGGGTAATGTTATTGGGCAAATTAAAGTTGGGCCATTTTTGTCCAACATTTTATTTTCTCCCAACCATTTACTACATGTAATTACCCAATTAAATGTTCAAAATTAGTTGGGCAGATGTTACTGGGCACACGTAGGTCGGGCAACAAATATGCAACAATAGGATTCTCTATTGTATGAGAGGTGTCGTGGTCGAGTGGATACGTCACAGGGTTGTGGGTCACAAGGTCCGCGGTTCGTGTCCCGCCGCGGCACCAATGTCCTTTTATATATAATATATATACTATTTTATCCAACTTATTTGCCCAACTAGTTTATAATATGCTACACATTATGGTGAGAATTGGGTGAATTTCTGAATGGGAATTTTAGTTGTTGGTTTAAAGTTGGGTATTTTTTTAAAATCCAACACTGGGTAAATAATTGCCCTCATCTTGGGTAAAAATTGGGTAATTTTTTGCCCAATATTTTTAGAGTGTAAGCAGGAGGTTAACATAGACGCCACTTTTAAGTCATGTTAAAGTCCATTGACCGAAGTTAAATCCAGGACTTGGTTTATTATAACTTTTAGGTCATCATCAAGTACCAGATCTGTTACAGACATCGGCGGTCATGGCCTTCCATTTCTGTCTTTTATCTGCTATTCATAAAAAGTTTGTGTTGATGATTACATTTTTGGTTGCCCATTTGTTCGGCATCAATGTAATCTAACACCCTCACGACATCCCTTCAGCAACAGGGCCAGATACATGTTTTTCTTATGAGTTTGTAGATAAGCTGCGAGATTTATACATGTCACAACTATTAACTGAACCAACTAGAATGAGAGAAGGACAAACATCAAATGTTTTGGATCTTATTATTACTGACCAAGAAGACATGACTGAATCATTGGTTACCTCTTCTCCAATAGGCAAGAGCGACCACCTAGTACTTGAATTCAAAGTAGTGGTGTCGAACGTGTCTTGTAAAACCACCAACCTGGAACACTACGCATTCTTCAAGGAAGATTTTGAAGGAATGAGGAAATTCGTCTATGAAAATGAGGTGTTTGATATACATGTGACCCATACAGATGAGGTGCTAAACGGTACTTACAATGCTATTGTTGAACGGATCAATGAAGTTACAAATACTTTTGTGGCTAAATTCAAATCGAGAGCAAAGGATAGACCCTTATGGATGAATGCTGCTGTTAGAAAAGTAATTTGTGACAAACATAAAGCCTGGAATCGTTTCCAGAAAACAAGAAGCCAACTAGACAGAGATAAGTTCAAGAAGATTAGGAACGAGATCACCAGAATAGTTACTGATGCAAAGAAATTTTTTGAAAAGAAACTAACTTCAGATCTGAAAACGAATCCAAAATGTTTTTGGAATTATGTGAAAAGTAAAACAAAGACAAAATCTTTAATTGGGTCACTGGAGAAACCCGATGGTGGCTATGCAGAAACAGACACTGAAAAAGCTAATACCTTGAATAATTTTTTTTGTCTCTGTATTTACGAGAGAAGATTTAGCCAATATTCCTAGATGTGATCCGAGAAGAAATGTTACAACCCTGGACAACGTTGAATTTACATAATCTGTTGTCAGAGTAGCAATCAAGAAACAACCAGACCAAATCCCCAGTACCTGACAATGTACACAACCGTATTCTGATGGAACTTGGAGATTATATTGCTAAACCTCTCTCTGAATTGTTCAATTTGTCGATGTCGAAAGGTCAAGTCCCAGCACGTTGGAAGGAAGCCTATGTTACACCTATATACAAAAAGGGTGATAAGAGGAAACCATGTCATTACCGTCCTGTGAGCTTAACCAGTACTTTGTGCAAGATGATGGAATCTTTCATCAGAGATGTGATAGTTGTTATGGATAGGCATGAACTGTACACAGATAATCAATATGGTTTTAGGAAAGGCAGATCTTGCGTCACACAACTACTCGATGTATCTGAAGCTTGGTACAAGGAGCTTAATAGTGGAAGAAGTATTGATTGTATATATCTTTACTACAGTAAAGCATTCGACACTGTCCCACATCAAAGATTGCTACAGAAAATTGAGTCGTACGGTATCTCAGGTAATCTGTTGAACCAAGAAGTTACTAGTAACTTCTTGGTTGAACTGGATCCAGTCCTTTTTAAGTGAAAGATCTCAATAAGTGATGGTAAAGTCACATAGAAGTCAGCTCTCATGGGGAATTCGACACCGTTCGGGTGTTTACCCAATAACAGGTGTTGTCAATCACCAGGGTTAGCCTCGAGTTTAATGACGATATTAGACCTTATGTAATGCTGGTTTTTCATTCGCTTGAAGAATCTCCGAGCATGCTCCGAGAGTCTAGGGGGTAATTCTTGACTGGCCAACGGGTTTGCTGTGCGCATATTTGTGTTCCCATTAATGGTATTTCCACCAAGTCTGGTGTCAGCGAATTACGGCCTCCTGCACATGGAAACTGACTACCCACTCCCAGAATGACATCTACGGAATCCAACGTTATGAGTGGCGTACCGCAGGGGAGTGTGTTAGGGCCCATCACCCTCTTCCTAATCTACGTGAACGACCTGCCTGACGTTATTCAGTCTAATGAATGTAAAGTTAAGCTGTTTGCAGATGATACCAAGCTGTACGTACTCTTCAATTGCAAACATCGACGACGGAAAGACTGTTTGGCGTTCAACAATAAGGGGTAGAGCAACGTCGATCTGGCGCTGCTCAGTGGCTGCCGGGCTCACGATCAATAAATTGGGCAAAAAGAATTTCCGTTTCGGTTTAAAAAAAATTGAGTGGACTATTAGGCTATTATTATTATTATTATTATTATTATTATTATTATTATTATTATTATTTATTATCATTAAACCACCTTCTTGTATATGGTCTAGAACATGGCAACTCCCTTTCAACATTGAGAAATGCAAAATCATCCACTATGGAAGAAGTAATTATCCCTTGTGTGACTACACTGTGAACGATGTGAACGAGCCATTACCTGCAGTTCAACATGAAAAAGATCTGGGAGTAATATTCGAATATAAAATGTCCTTTTCAAACCACATTGACACTGCTTGTAATGCTGCAAACCGGAAATTAGGAATCATCAAGCGTACTTTTTCAACTATGGACAACAAGGGACTCACACAGTTATATAAGTCAATTGTGAGACCGGCACTAGAATACTGCTCTCTCGTATGGCACCCTTATAAGAAGAAACATATTCTCAAAGTGGAAAAAGTTCAACGTCGTGCAACTAAACTCCTTCCACCTCTCAGAAGTCTTCAGTACAAGATACGGCTAGAGCTACTAAATTTGCCTTCATTATCCTGTAGAAGTTATTGAAGCGACATGCTACAGGTCTATAAGATAATGCATGGAATCGACGACCTCCAGTCAACTAATTTCTTTCATCGTACCACTGTCACAGTAACAAGAGGTCACCAGTTCAAACTACAAAAGAAACATATAAAATCTAAATTTTCACAGAGAGTAGTAAACGAATGGAATGGTCTCCCATCATGTAGCAGAAAGTCCATCACTCAATTCTTTCAAATCAAATCTTGACAAGTACTGGTCACGGAAGAAGGACAAGTTTAACCCTGATGAACTATGATGAGCTATCAAGTAAATAGAGATGTATAATTTGATTTGATCTCATTTAAACATGTGATTAAGTGCTTTGCTATGAATATTTATGTCTTACGATGCTATCCGTGATTTTATCTGAATAAAGATTTATTTCAACAAAAAAAAACAAAAAAAAACCGATGAACTATTCAACTGTCCATGTTCTTCCGTAACTGCACAACGCCAAACTCAACAATAACCTACTAACGGACACCGAGGGGTAAATACGTTTTGTATAACTTTATGCCTACTTCCAAGGTATGATATCCAAGGTATGACATTTCCCATACCTCTGCCATGTTCTTCTGGATATCCCTGAGGATATCAATATAGATGGTCATGTTGTCGAACCACCACTGTCCCTCCTGCCAAGACGGTTCCCTGGTGGCGTTGTTGTACGAAATGATGGAGCGCATCTCTGTGATCGTATTCTGGAAGTGGAAGTCGTGGTCAGAGTTCTCGATCGAGTCCTCGAGGATCATGCGGACGAGCTGAGAGTACTTCTGCGACGCCCAGATGTTCGACTGACCGACCTACAATACATTTTGTTCTTGTTATAACAGAAGGTGTGCCACTCCAGTCTAAATATAGATAATTCTTAAGACAGACTTGAAGAACAGCTTTGAATAGAGCCATACTGATTGTTTTGGTTGCACTTATCTTAGTGAAAACAAGAATGAACTGAAATTCGAAATTGAACAAGTAACTGCAGACTAAGATAACTCAAGTTTAACTTCTTCTTCAAAGTCCTTTTTTATCATAATTATCGATGATATTTCTGTCTTAATATCTGCTGCCAAACATTACATTGTGTGTGTTCATGTATGAATATGACCTAATTCCTGATAGCAATTTTCTGGGGTTATCTTCCTACACTGTCTAATAAATGCTCTACAGACATTATTCGCGGGGTAGTTGCCCGGATAACAGTCCCTACCTGCATCTTCTCCATATACCAGCGGTAATCCGTCAACCGATTGAAGCCACCCTGCGTATAGAACACCGCCCCCAACGTGCGCTCAATACCAGTCTGTTCCATTCCCACGATCAATAGCTGGTAAGCTACCAGTGTCTCCCAGAGACCCTGACCGCCGGACTTGCCTACACTCTCGTAGAGCCAGTCGATAAAGAGCTGGATGGCGTCGGTGTAGAAATGGATGACTTCGTAGATGGTTGTGTTGTGGATGTCGAGGGTTAGACGGTACTGGAAGAGGTACGACAACAGGGCCTCTTTGTTTTGGAACTGTTGGTAAGCCATGGTTCCCTTGACGGGCCAATCGTCCAAACTCTCCAAGACCTGTGGGGGAAGAATCGACACTACTAAAATAATCTTTTTTCATTCCCCCATCCTTTGACCTAGTCATACCACCTTAGTCATAGCCCAAACCATTAACTCCACCGTGTCCACTTCAGTTGTCGTCGGCACACCAACTCATTATGTTGTTATTATTACCAATATCTTCATCTTAGACGTTTGTAAATATTTGTCCTCGAGTAATTGTTTTCGATGTAGTTGTCCAGATACTTGTCCCAGGGGAATCATTCGAGCGGTTGTTGTCCAGATGTGGTACTTTTTTTTAATAATTATCTTGCCAGAAAAAAAATTAATGATTAATGGGATACCAGACCATGTTTTAAATGTTACCCTGATAAAATTTCATCCTCTCCCGACCCAAAACATTTTAGGGACATTTTGATCAGAAGGATTCATTCTACCCACGTCCACTCCACGCACACACACACACACATACACACCCCACACATACCCACTCGCATGTTGACTGTTAGATATCTTACTTCGTCGGTAAGCGGGTAGGTATTGATCAGGAAGATCTTCCTTTCTGGTCCGGTGGCTGCGGTCTTCTGTTGCATCAAAGAGCTGATGTAGAGCGCAGTCATGTCCCTCTCCATCTGTAGACTGTGAACCAGGGTACCAACCTGTAATTAGACAACACAATTTGACGTGACTTAGAAAGTGGCATGATGGTTCGAACCTTTTTACGGTTCGTGTGTTCTTAGACAAGGCATCTTATCCACAATGAAACCCTCGATATTGGTTTAGCCCATATAAGGTCTTGATATAATTATTTCATTGGCTGCTGGACGCCCGGAGCTGTCATTGCATTAACATTCTAAAGCAAGGGCACGATGGAGGAATTAAGTGTGAAAAACAATTTCTTGGTGCATTGTGTAATTCTTATAATACCTTAGTGTGATAACTATAATGAACTAAAAGGAAGAAAATGTAATGGTTTTCCTGCTAGCGTAATCACAAACCCGGGGATTCAGATAATTGTCCTGTATACACAGTAAATGGCTTATCCAGAAGAAATAAAAGATTGACAGGGGGCACAATCGTAACCAGACAGCGATGGGTATGGTAATGGTATATAACCGTAGCCGGAGACCCACTACAAATTTGTATCTACAATATAAAGAAGAATGATATATTTCTGTGCCACCGGGATGGGTGGGGGTAACGCACGCCAGCTTCATACTATGCTGGATACACGATGGTCTTTATCAAAATACATAACATCTCCACTTACCTGTCGACTGAAGCGAACGTTCCTCCGGATCTCGCTGGCATCTACACTCTTATTGAGGGTAGCGATGAGATCGGAGATGGCGAGGGCTGTCAGGACAATGATAGGCATCAGCGTCAGGGTTAACATCTTTATCATCTGACGTCTCTTACCGTTTGGTGTCAAGGGTGTGGCCGAGCAAAGCATCTTGTTCGAGTCTTGAATCACCTCCCGTACCGATGTCTCAACCTGCGTTAGTCGAAAATCGAAGTTTATTTCAAAAGTTAATGAAAAACGATGGAGGTGCCGATTATATCGAATATATCGAGATAGAAACGTTTTATATTATTGACAAGTGAATAATGCACAAATAAATTTGACTTGACGTATTTGTTTTTCCATTTTCAATATAAGACGAACATATAAACAGTCCGTATTATGTGATTTGGCAACTGAAACAGGGTAATGAACCCCAAGTATAATTCAAACGTGGTTTATTTCTAATTCGATACCAGTGATTTACAAATGTTGCTGAAATTACATGATTTTCCGGGTTTTTTCTCTCACTTTTGCCCATTATGCCAGAGGCGGTGGGGGGGGGGCACTGTGCCCCCACTTTTCAGGTACCCCCCAAAAAGCCCCTTTTACATAGGACAAGTGCCCCTTTTCTTTTCTAATAACTGTCCTTTTCCTTTTTTGATAAGTGCTTACTTTTCCTATCTCCATATCATGCACCCCTAATTCAAGGCAACTTAGAGCCCTTATTTCTTTAATTTTCCCTATAGCTCGATCGCTCGCATTATTTTATAGATGTTTTAATTATGTTATTTATAAAAGAAAATTTCAGTCTGTTTTCATTAGATTGTGCTTTATACTCATCAGGGTTTGGTTTTTGTCTTCCGAGTTTTATAATAAGTAATTTTTGCACTGGGACCTCACAGATCTTAAATTTGTTGCTCGCTCGCTTCGCTCGCTCGAAAATTAATATTCAGACCCTCACACCTACTTGCAGAGTATGTTGCTTAATTAAACAGTATCTTGTAACACGTCAAGAAAGAAACAAACAAATATTGATATCATCCCTGGTATTGTTATCACAATCATGACGGTGTAGGGGTACATACCGATGTCTAAAAATGGTGTATGTTTTTTTTTAATGTTTCCCTCTGTAGGTGCCCCTTTTCCCCCAGAAAGTGTCCTTTTTGTTGTTGCCCCCCCCCCTCTATTTTTGAAGACGCTCCGCCGCCCCTGTATTATGCTACTTGGTGGTGATGCGGATTTCGTTCTGACACCCCAAAAGCTTTTGCTCATTAATACGCCTCTGTCACCGATACCATTATCGGTTGATTGAATTTGTTTACTGTCATAAAAACATGCAGCCCAAGGGGTGTAACTGTTCAACTTTCTATCGAGAAAAAAAAGAGAAAAATGTTGAAAAATTACTGCATGTTTACAGTTTATTTAACCATTAAAATAGTATATTATGTCGGTCATACATAATACGTCTGAATGAAATTCAGCCATATATTTCGAATTCTAAAAGTGTCGTAAGACTGTTGGACGAACCTGACTCATGGATCCGAGACTGGAAGCGATGCTCGCCACCCTCTCTCCTGCCAGCCTCCTGGCTTCTGAATCCTCCATTCTCCAAAAGCACTAACCAATTAGCTTCAGCAGAAACCAGACAAGAGCACCTTCACCGTCTCAACGAGAGCTGCAACAAAATTTATTTAAAATAAAGGGGGGGGGGGAGGATAACGATAAGAAATTATGGGGTGGAGACTGCATGACTATACGTTTCTACTTAAAGGTAATACAAAGCTTTGATAAATATTTCAACAGGATTGGAATATGAAATTTAAAATTTGCATTACCATTGTTAAAACTAGTGTTAGAATGAGCAACTTTAAAAAAATCGGGCTCTTAACGCTAGGGATTTCGAGAAATTAAAATATCAGATTTATCGGTGCTCCCGACAAATTTCAAGTAGCGCCTACGGTCATACAATGTTAGCTATGACCGTGAAAATCTCGGAAAATGCAGTTCTGATGTATAATTTCCAAACGGGAAAAGAAAATCGGTCGATTTTAGTCAAACATTGTTTTGAAACTAAAGTAATATCAATCTTGAGAGGGAGCTATACAACATTAAGAGTTTATTAGTCACAATTTCATCACTTTAGATACGATTTTAACCGCGACAAAGATCATTGAATATTGTAGGGTCGCATATGATTCCAATATGTTCATTTAAGTCAAATTCATGACCCCATACCAAAATTTTGTATTAAATTTTAAGACATTTATGAGGAACATGTATATCCCTAAGTTGATGATTTATTTACATCCAAAGTTATTGTAGAATTGAAATGTTGACTTTTTTATTTTACAGAATTATAAAGAAATGATATTTTTGTTATTTTCATCGCTTCGAATTATTTGAATAATTTTCACTTTCATATATACCTATTTTATTTGCATTCCAGGCCCCTTGTATCTATATTACTTTCATTATGCTCATGACGTTAAAAGAAGCTTATTAGGGACTTTTAGATTTGAACGACGAGAACGTGGACTGCTACATGTGACATCTTTTTAAGGCAACGTGACGTCCTTTTAAGGCACTTAAAGTGCCCTAAAGTGCCTTAAAAGGACGTCACATTGCCTTAAAAGTGCCTTACAAGGATGTCACACATAGCAGTCCATGTTCATGTAGTGTAAATCTAAAAGTCCCTATTAGCATTAATCAAAATGTGTACCGGTCATCGCCTAAAATTAACCCCTTGTCACAGCCAGCGCAAAGCACCAACAAGTTCCACATAATATTTACACATAATTATCTGCCTGTGGAAATTTAGGAATACATCTACACTACATGGCTTCTTTTAATCTCGTTTGATTAAACAGTTTTCTACTTCATCCACTCTTTCTAATTCTACGTCATCTGAAAAGCAAGCCTGCGCTGAACCCTTACAACATTATATTTGACGACGGTTGCTATAGCAACGAAAAAAAAAGAGAACTCTACTTTCAATAAACATGATAAACAATTTTTCTATGATGCTGAAATATTCTTCTGTACACAGTTTTTAGTAATTATGCAATATTTATTTTCTTCTTCTTCTTCTTCCTTTTGAGTACAGACCTCTTTACAGAGTATTATCGTACTATACTGGGGTGTGTTCTTAGTCGATCCAAGTGGAAGGCATACGGTAAAATGAGTTTTAGGTATAAACACTGGCCAAATTTGAAATCTTTGGATGATTATTACAACATTCATAAACGTTATAAAACATAATGACTGTTTTGCCAAAATGTGATACACGTATTCTAGTTGAGCAACTTCTATTGAATGTGTTTTTGAATGTTTTGAATAACTTGCCTCGACAAGATTTACAATAATTTTAGATACCAATGAAACTCAAATGGATATACCCGAATAGGCACTGCTTTCTTAACACTACGTAAGTTCAATAATGAACGCAAAATAATGAAGGGAGCATCACAGTCTTTCGCTATATTAAAATTAGATTAGAAGTCAAAATTGACTAAATGTTTTTGAACAGGTATTTAATTACCCAAAATATGCACCGAACAATACTGCCAAGTATTAAAGCGGGACTGCACTTGTAGCTATACTTGCGCCCTCTATATAGCAAACAATGCCTAAGCGGTAGCCGTTGTAAGTCATGGTCCTCTTTTTCTTACGTTAATTGAGAGCTGGTTCGATGAGAGAACCACCTGTCGGTGACTTGCAGGGAGGTCAACTCCCTGCTGGCCAAACTAGTGCAGATATGCTTTAAAAAATGAGAAAATGAAGCGCTGCTTTAAAAACAATATTGATAATGGTTTCCTATAAAGCGATTTACCAGTTACAGCGTAACTGATCAAATTTCCCCGGTCATTATATTCAGTTATGATCCTGCAGCGCACACTCTCCACTCCCTTGGGAGCATTCCAGCCAGTCGCCCCTTTGACGGGTGCGGACAAGCTGATCCAATCACACTGACGTTCACATCTAACCGGGTACCAATATAAACCTGGGTGGAGAGGAGCAATGTAGATGTAATGCCTTGCCCATTGACATAAGTGCCGTGCCAGAGATCGAACCCGCGACCTTTGCATTACCATTTATGGGATTAAACCACTCGACTAAGACGTCTCTTAAACTTGAAAAATCCCTTATGAAATATGCTTAGGAGAGGGAGAGAGAAAGAGAGATCTCATATCTTGTCAAATAGTATTGCTTACAAACTTTCAAATGCAACATTCAAAATTAAGATTTTTTTTTTCTTTCACTCTAGACTTTCCAAACGTGTATTAAATATCGGATAACAAGATATCGTTCCAATTTGGTATACGATTTTAGGGAAGAAACTATTTTGATTAAAAGATCGACTTTGCAAATTGTTTTTTGAGAAAATATTTGGGCATCAAAACTCATTTGCGATTATACAGTGCGTCCCAGACAAAACGAAGCCGAGAATTATCGATGTTTTATCATAACTTAATCACAATTATAATTAATAAATGACACATATTTGTAAAGCTAATAAGATCCTCTTCTTTGAGTTGATGGAACTCATATCATGCATATTTCACGCATGGGTGATTAAAACCAATTTGAAGAGAGGGTACCAAAAGGTAATTTTTAGGGCGGTATCTGAATTTCAAAGAGAAAATCACATTTCTAGAAAGTTTATTTTCTGCCCTTTCATAATGACACCTCATCAGGAAAATGACCCAGGAATAACAAAGTTCTGTTTGTTAAAGTAATGCTTGCATTTCCATAATTTGATTAAACGAATTCGTTTTCACTTGCTGCCTGCCATAGCAACAAACGGAGTTGACAAAAAACTCTGTTTCGTTGAGATCAGCCATGCACAAAGAAGACGAAATGGAGTTAAGTCTTCTGTCAACTCTTTTTGTTGCTACGGCAGGCAGCAAGTGAAATCGAAATCGTTTAATCAAATTATGAAAATGAAACCATTACTTTAAACAAACAGAACTTTGTTATTCCTGGCTCATTTTCCTGATTGAGGTGTCATATGAAAGGGCAGAGAATGAATTTTCTAGAAATGTGATTTCCTCTTTGAAATTCAGATACCGCCCGCCAAATGACTTTTTAGATTCCTCTCTTCAAATTGTTTTTAATCACTCATGCGTGAAATATGCATCAGAGTTGCATTTTAATGAAAGAGGAGGATCATTCTAAGCTTTACAAATATGTGTCATTTATTAATTTAAATTCTGATTAAGTTATGATAAAACATCGATAATTCTCGGTTTCGTTTTTTCTGGGACGCACTTTAGAGATCATTACTTACTGAATGCATAATACGAACACATAAAAAGTGCCCGAAAAAATGGTTAATTCAGCGCTAATAAAAAGAAGGTCTGTTGATATCTGCTAATATTGCGTCACTACAGATGGACTCGGCCACAAACATATTGTTATCACTGTCATAGCCGGGGAAATGCGCCTGAATAATTTGCCTCCGTCAATATAACCACAAACTTGAACATAATTACAATACAAAAACACATTCGTGTACATGACAGATATATTAATTATCAGTATATGAAAGCAAAACTTACATTATGTAGGTCCGAGATGAACTCCCTGGTTTCGAATGCTATCATATGTGCTTTTAAGTTGAAACAAAATGGCGGGGGTATTAGAATCACCAAGTTGCTACAAGATATCTGTAACCATTCATGTCTGTTCTTCATCCTGAAAACCTTCAAGATATTTCTTTGGTATGCATCTGGAAAGCACACTTAGCTGTGATTGGCTGAGTTGGGGTGAGAATTTCTTAATCGGTCAGCTGTCGTCACGTGCGGTTTTTTACCGGTGAATCTTAGAATTAAATCGTCATTCCTTTTAGTTAGTTACGACAAATACTCTGTAAAGAGGTATGTAATCAAAATGGAGAAAGAAGAATACTATATCAGCGCACAAGAGTGAATATCCACCTTTTTCAGTCATAGTAGGAATCACTTCCTTCGAAGTTGAATTAAATTCAATTTATAGTGGAATCCACTCCAAAGTAGTAGTTAAAGAACTCTTTCGAGAGTAGATTTCCATTCCAAACGGAGTGGATCTCTACACTCCTATTCCATAAGAAAGTTTTTTTTTTTTTATAACGAAGAATATTATTGTTGTTTGCAGTTTTTGTTACATGTCAGGTGCATTTCAGAGGTAAATGAAATTCCTATCTTTTATCATAACGAAATAAGAATTTTCATGGCATCAAACGGAATTTTCACTCAGTGTTCACGACAAGGACAAATATAAATATCAATAACAATCTTTTTTTTTAATTCAACAAGTCTTATATGTTCAGAATTGCAATCAAGGTTAAACGACTAAAACGAATTATACTGTATATTTGTAGGATGTTTAAAGAAAACATCACGAGGCTACCAATGATGCAATGTCCATGCTCAATCAACTTTTTTTTTCAAGTCTGCAAGTAAATCATAAATATGTTGGTTTCATTGCATTTTACTAAACATTAAACATGACTGTGTTTACTACAGTTACAGAGCCAATGTAAATTCCTAATTGGTTGAAAATTCTGAAATAATTTTTATAAGCACTTACCAAGACTTCATCCATTTATAAGGGAAAAGATATATCCATATCTAAAACTAACATAAAATCACAGTATACCAGTCACACCAGAAACACAAATGTCCTACTAAAGTTTGTTATAAAAAAGGCAGTGTTAGTTTGTTCTGCCCTAATTTTGTATCAGTTGCACAACAAAAGCTAGTAAACGCCTGATTTCATTAATTATGGAATGAATCACATTTTGTGTACATTTTTTTTTAATTTTTAAATAGACACATTTCAACAGTGACTGTTCTCCATTTCTTAGAATCCTTACAGTTTCCTATCTTGAATAAGTAATTATGTTTCATCATGCATTTGGTTTACTTTTTAATATTTTGCCAGACCTGGGGGTGTTTCACAAAGATCCTAAGTTGAACTTATCTCTAAGTTGGACTTAACAATTATGGAAAGCCGTTAGCATCTATAAAAATATTTTGCATAAAATGTTGATTCAAATCATTTATATTTTCTAATATCAAGGAGATTTCATGTTTTTGATGTTGAATTTATAAAAAGTCTAAAATACTTGATTTTTTGCTTGTGAATATATTTTATTTTAAGGCCACAAATGGCTCTCCATATTTGTTAAGTCCAACTTAGAGTTAAGTTTGACTTAGGATCTTTGTGAAACACCCCCAGACTTCGATGAGATGACTACCAATGCGATTGCGGGTAATGGCATTGACGTCTTGTAGTAGCCAATAGGAACTTTTAGATTTGCACGACGAGAACGTGGACTGCCACGTGTGACATCCTTCTAAGGCAATGTGACGTCCTTTTAAGGCAGGGGCAATATTTGTTGCCCCTTTTTTGCCCCCCGAAATTAGAAAATCGCGCTGACCGATATTTAGCTTAGTGGGGGTGGAGGGGGGGGGGCTCACCCCCCAAAACAAAATGGAGGGGGTTTAACCCCCAAAACACCCCCCTGCCTCTGGATCGATCGATTGCTAAGTTTCATCCATCGTCCATTGGCGATGAGCTGCTTTTGGATTTCACTTTACTCCTGGGTAGGATTTCACTAACGCTAACTTGTGATGCATCGTTAATCCATTGTAAGGGCTTGAACCCATCGTAATCCTGGTAGCAGATCACGGAATATCACCGTGAAAGGTAAAATGTCGCATCCAGCCTCGCCTTTACCAAACAGACACCAGAAGAAACAACTGCTTCAAAATAGTATAATAATAATAATAATAATAATAATAATAATAATAATAATAATAATAATAATAATAATAATAATAGTCCACTCCAAATGTTATTAAACCAAATAAAGGGTTAGGTTTCCTTATCATGATGATAGCCCAAATACATATTTCTTTCAAAGATACTATGTAACTTTTGCAGCCAACATCGAATTTTGTAGAACTTTGTAGGAAATATGAACATGTCACGTATGTCCTATCTGTGAAATTTAAACATTAGCAGCAGAGGCGGCGGAGCGTCTTCCAAAGTGGGAGGGCATCAACAAAAAAGGGCACCTTCTGGAAAAAAAAGGACACCTTCAAAGGGAAATCTCAAAGTGAAAATATAATTTTTTTTTAGACATTGGTATATACCCCTATATTGTGATTACTTTTTCACGGGTGATTTCAATATTTTGTTTCTCTTTATACATCATATAATATATTGCTTAAAGGTAATACAAAGTTTTGGGAAATTTTGAAGATGGCCGGATAGCGATTCTTTACAATTTTGATACATTTGGAGGCCCCTGAGGATGTATCATTAGCACTAGAAAAACTAGCCCCTAAAACACTTCTGCTTTCGAGAAAAATTGAATACAAAAATTTACCGGTGCTCCCGGTAAATTTTGATGATTTTCAAATAGCTAATACGGCCTTCCAATGGTACATGTAGCTGCGACCATAAAAATCTCAGAATATGCAGTACAACGGGAATAGCAAATTGGTCGATTTTAGTCAAGAAACATTGTTTTAAAGCTATTTAATATCTTGACCTCGAGAGGGAGCTATACAACTTAAAGACTTTATTATTTACAATTTCGTCGCTTTAGACTCGATTTCAACCGCGACAACGATCACTGAATAGTATACGATCGCATTTGCTTCCAATATGTTCATTTAAACCAAATTTATGACCCCATACCAAAACTATGTATTACCTTTAAGCATCATACCTTGCAGTTGGGTGTGATGGTCTGAAAATATATTTGTGAGAGAGCAAAGCGAGCGAGGAAATTTTTAAAGATCTGTGAGGTCGCAGTGCGAAAAATTACATCTTTTAAAGAGAAAAACCCCAATCCTGATGGGGTTATAAGCACATTCTCATAACGGAAGACTAAAAAGATCTTTGATAAGTTTCATAATTATAACATCTATAACTACGAGCAAACGAGCTTTGGGGGCAATTTCTCTTAGTTGCTTGAAATTAGGGGCACGTTTAACGATGAGAGGAATAGGTGTCACTTATCGAAAGGGTTAAGACACTTATTAGAAAAGAAAAGGAGCAACGGCTAATTATCAGAGGTGAAAATGGGGCACCTTTTACACCTAAAAAAGAGGCGCGCAACAGGGATGAAAAGGGATTTTTTGAGAATGGGAAATGGGCATTTGTCGACGGAAAAGAGGTACCCATTAGATTTTAGACATTTATAAGAAGTGAAAAGGGGCATTTATGAAAGAGGGATAGGTTCCTTATTAAAAAGGAAAATGGGGCACATATCATTGCTAAAAGGGTAATTATCAGATGTGAAAAGGGGCACTTATCGCATCTGAAAAGGAGCACTAATGATAAAGGGAAATGTGCATTTGTTGAAAGAAAAAGGCACCGATAAGATTTTAACAGGGGCATTTATCGTAGGTGAAAGGGGGCTTTTATGAGAAGGGGGAAGTGGCTCTTGTTAAAAAGAAAAAGAGGCACATAATAAACTAAACGGGGCACTTATCACAGATAAAAAGGGGTAATCATGAGAAAGGGACGGGCACTTATTGCAAAGAAAAATGGGAACTTGTCAAAATAAAAGGGGCACTAATCAGAGGTGGAAAGGAGAAGGGGCACTTTAACAAAATAATAGGGGCACTCAGGGGCGTACGCAGGATTTTTTCAAGGGGGGTTTTTAAAATCTGGCCCAAAATATTTTGCTCCCGAAAAGTCGCTGGGTAAGCGGACACTTTTTTTTTTTTTTTTTTGGGGGGGGGGGGGTCTCGAAATTTGAAAATTTGGCATTTTTTTTCGTTGGGGGGGGGGTAAGGTCACTTTACGTTAGTCGTGGGCATATTTATTTATTTATTTATTTTTTTTTTAATTTAAAAAAAAAAAAAGGGGGGGGGGTTTTAGTTTTTTTAGAGGGTTTACACACATAAAATACCAAAGGGGGGTTTGAACCCCCAACCCCCCCCCCTGCGTACGCCCCTGGGGGCACTAGTCAAAGTAAAAGGGGCACTTTTCCTATGAAAAAATGGGCAATTATGGGGTACTTGAAAAAGTGGAGGGGCACTGTGCCCGCTGCCCCCCCCCCCCCCCCCCCCACGGGAGCGCGGCCTCTGGATTTAGCAGTGACTTAGTATTCAAATTATCCAAGGAAACCCCTTAACTTTCTAGACTTCATTGTCAGACACTATTGAGTGACTGGCTGATATCTGTTTTTCTTTGGTAATAACATACATAAAATGAGCTGTACGGGGGTGGTTAAAGCCGGAATATAACGTTATTTGTTTTGCTTTGAACTAAACATCTGTAATCATGCCTCACTTTGACTATGCGGATACTGTTCGGCAAACTGCAAATAATAATCGTTTTGATCAACTTCAGAAGCTTCAGAATCGGGCAGGAAGAATTATTCTTCAGGTTAAACCTTGTGAACATCAGATTCACGATACCTTGAGTTGGGGAAACCCTAACATCTCGATGTAGGAGACATATGTATTTGTTACTGTTTCATGAGCTAGCACCTAAATATATGACTGATAAATTTGTATTTAAGGAAAATTGTCATACTAAGATATAATGAAAATTTAATGCTTCCGAAACGTTACATTCTTGTATCGTGGATCCATGTTTTACAATGAATTACCGTCAGTTAGGCACGCTAAATTTGTGTAACAAACATGTTCAAAAATATTTTTATCATTTTTATATTTAAAAAACCGTGTAATAACAGACTAAATTAGATAATATGTAGCATATTTTATAACTAATTAAATCAATTGTTAGCAGGGTGTGTGATAAGGGTGGGCTCGTATTTGGTTACATTAGGGATGGTAGGGGATATTTGAATATATGTTAATGCTTTTATGATCGGGTTTGTAAAGAAAAACTTAAAACAATCAGCGATTATTAAAAAGATCAATACAATATGGTATTGCATTTTGTTTAACACGAGGGGGGCCCCACTCCCCTCCAAAAAAAAAAAAAAAAAGCAGTAAAGGAAAAAACATGGTTTGTATTTTTAACCCAAAAGAGCATAACAATAGTAAAAACCTGAATTACCATTCCATTCAAAGAAAAGGAAAGTTCACAGGAAATAAATTTCATAAACATTGCGCATGCTACCTATACGGTTTATAATGGCGACATGCGCATATCGTGGACATAATTGTGCGAGAATGGGAAAGCGTGTCTGTTTTTTTGTTTTGTTATAGGGGTGAGAAGACATGAGCCCCTGAACGCTGGCGTACTGATGGGGGGGGGGGTATATCTATACGATACCAGTGATTTACAAATGTTGCTGTTATGACATGATTTTCCGGTATTTTTTCTCCATTTTTTTGTAAGCCATTTTTATGCGTTTGTTGGAAAATAAGGAATTCCCAAATTACAGTCGGGCGAAAAATACGCTTATATAGAAGCCTTTATGTCATGGTCTGCAAAGTGGCTGGGCTCGAGCCCCCCCCCCCCCCCTCACTTTTTGAAAAAAGTAATTTAAAGAGAAAAAGAAAGAAAGGTGGAGAAAAAAAATAAGTGACCTGCCAATGTCACAAATAAGGTATAAAAAATGCTCATCTGACCGTAGTTAAATACCTAAAATCCTGAGCTTCCGAGGGCTCTGCCCCCTGGACCCCACCAAGGGCTCTAAGGGGGGCCCCCGGATGCTCATCTGACCATAATTAAATACCTAAAACCCCTGAGCTTTCAGGGGCTCTGCCCCCTGGACCCCACCAAGGGCCCTAGGGCGGCCCCTGGATGCTCATCTGACCGTAGTTAAATATTAAAACCTCTGAGCTTCTGGGGGCTCCCCCCCCCCCCTCTGGAACACGTCAATGGCCTTAAAGAGGCCCCTGGATGCTCATCTATTCGTAATTAAATAACTAAAATCCCTGAGCTTCCGGGGGCTCAGCCCCTTGTCCCCCTGCCGAGGCTCATATGCCCTGGACCCCACGCCAATTTACGCTCTACCTGATCGTAAATACTCCACTTTGAAAAACGTTCCGCGGGACCTGCATGTAACGTGTAAGACTGGTGGTGATGATGCAGATTTTTCGTCTCCCCCCCCCCTTCCGAACGTTTTTTTCTCATTATGTCACTGCCCTTGGAAGGTGAGCCCCCTGGAATGTCCCCCCCCCCCCCCCCCCCAATCCCAAACTGCTTCCGGCGCGCCTGAACCCCGGCATGGACATATTTAGAACAAACATTTTGACATTTTACACACTGAAAACGTTGTTCTAAAAAACTTATTACCCAATTTATAATAAATGGTCTGACATTGAGATCAATCAATAATTCCTAATCAAAATATTGTAATCCAATCTGTCAAAAATCGATACAAATAATAGTTGATATAGATTTTGGTCTCTCACAAGTAAAAAATGTTATGCAATAGTCTAATAAGATAGTGAGATGTTGATAAACCAGGGAAACCAGGTCTATTACCATTTCTATTTCTTCCGGCGGAGAGTGGACCTCGATCGACTGAGAGTCGGATAGACGTAGCTCTTCAAATGGTTACGTTTTTAGCTGTCATTGGTCCACTAATCTCTCACTTCCATATTTCTTATCAGACGTGGCAAATGTAACTTGTGCCAAGTGTATTACTTCTGAAGAGCTGCCCAATTTTTCCAGCACTATTTTCCAGAGGGTGTAATATAACCATTCTGCTTAAAGTAGGGCTTGTTCATAGCATTTAGTGCCTTTTTAGGCATGTATCCCGGCATATTATCAAAGGACATAACTACACTTTCCCCCTTTTCTGTATTTTACGTTTATAAAGTTCAGATAACGACTCGACTGGATGGAGGACTAGGAGACGTGTGATTAATCGCGCGCGCACTACATACGTGGACGTACGTACGTACGTACGCACGTCACGGGAGCATAATTTATAAAACTTGTCAAGATGGCGGAACGTTCATCTCGACGTCGAAAGAAGAAAGAGGTAATCACATTGCCAAACTTACTGAAATAAAATTAAAGTGTAATCAGTTTTTTGTATTGTATTGAAAAGATTGTAATGCTGGAATTATGGAGTGTAGACCTATGTGTGTTCCACTATTTCATTCAGATAACGATGCATCCAATGCCGATGCAATGCAATGCAATGGCAATGAATACAAATGTGTACATTGCGAAATGCACTGCACTGGAAAGTTGAAAGAAGTTCATTATTTAGTCTACAGTGACTGACAGCTGTTCATTGTTTTTGTACGGACATGTATTCAGAATCATACTGTGACCCGTAACTTTGACGTGGAGATACCCTACTAAAACGTACAGCAATCCTATACTTTAGTGTGTTTTATTATTTTGGGTTTCTAACTTCAGTTAATAACAGCTCTTCGTGCATATCATAGGGTTAGGGTTAGGGTTAGGGTTAGGGTAGGGTTAGGGTTAGGGTAGGGTTAGGGTAGGGTTAGGGTTAGGTTTAGGTTTAGGGTTAGGGTTAGGTTTAGGGTTAAACTGAAGTTAGAAACCCAAAATAATAAAACACACTAAAGTATAGGATTGCCAAACGTACCAAAAATCAACTAAATCTTCATCAGTTGTTCAAAGTTTAACATTAACTTTCATGCACACATATTTAGGAGCATCAGGTCAAACTGTTAGGCCTAGACAGTAGACTATTAGTATTAGGCCCGTATTAGGGTGTCTGAACGATTTTTCAATTTTCAATTTGGGATCGTTTTTCACCATTTTTGTTTGATATTTAAATGTAATCAGAATAATACATTTCAAATTTCAAGTCTCACCGATGTTTCTATCAAAAGATACAGCCCCTTCGAAACGCTGCAATATTCATTCTTTCATATCATACATAGCATGTTGATCAGAATCGACAAAAAGACGTACACGCAGAGTTATGTTGTTTTGCTAAATTTAGCCAAACAGCTGTATCGCACAATATGCAAGCATATGCATAACGAACGCATGTTATGCGCAACTTGCAGCTTGAGCCACGTTGTCTCAGCGATATATTTTGCCATTGACTAGTAGATCTATGGCTAGCCGTTCGCACAATAGTACCCGGAAGTGATTACACGTTATAGTCAATGGCAAAATCGCGGAGACAAATAGAATTTGAATTTTTAAATTATTCATTTTTAACATCTTTAAGTTTAAAAAATGTATTTTACTGCTATTTAGGTGTCATCAATTGTCACTAAAGTACCGATTTTTAGTGAAATTAGTTTTGTACAGTGGTGTTTTAAATGTTGAGAATCAAAAGCACAGCTTTTACTACACAGCCAGGATAGTGATGCTCCTATGCACGTAGAAGAATCCTCTATCCAACTCAGTGAACGGAAATACGCGCCGCTGATTGGCTGATCGCGCGACCCTCGCTTGTCTGCTAGCTGCAAGGCATGGGCGATTCGCTACACTGTGCGCGGTGTATTGTACCGTGTATTGTAGCGGCCGTGTTGCAGGAGCGGGGCCCTGCACTAAACTCGAACACCAAGCAAAAATTGGCGACCAAAGACACTTTCAGTGTTTATGGTTTCAACGATGTTGCTCTCTACACACTCATGTCGCTCACATACAATTTGCACGTAGCTTTACACACACTTCAACCTACACATACATATCCTTTACAAAAACTTCTGACGAAATCATCAAAAAAATATGACTTACCGAAACAAAGAACCACCATACGATTTTGCTGAAAGTACCTAGAAATATCGATGACACCGATGGCGAAAAAAATTGTTCAAAAATCGAAGTCAGGATGGAAATATAACGAGTTTGATAACAACGTAATTGAGAAGTCGCAGGCAGAAATCATCGCACTGATAGGTTTAACATTGTGGGAAAATATGCAAATGAAATGAGTAAACACCCAATCAACTACGAGCATCGTGACGCTAGCACTTTTATGAATGAAAAATGACGTCAGTCGGGCTTGAGCGAACAGAAGAGCGCATTGCTCGAGTTTTGTGTGTAATTCTCCTTCGTGCTTTGTGTGGTCTAGCCCCACTTAAGCCGCGGGGGCGCAGCTCAGGAAAGTGGCAAATTTTGGAGCTAGGATGCAAACAACATTTCAATGGCTGTTTTGACCAAGATGTTTTTAAATTTCTGAAAGATAATAACTTTTAAAAGACCTACTAATAATTTACATGGGATATAACCCATCACAAATACAATTTCATACCATAACAACGGAGTGCGGGCGGGCGAGTGTGTAAGGTTAGCAACTGTAATCTTAGTTTATGGTCCATAACTGAACACATGCGTGTACCCGCACCCCACCATCTGTACGTAATTGTGCTGCAGTTTGCCGTGAATCCCGTGAAAAAGATAAGAAAATTGACACGAAACGATACTTGCTGATAATACTCATCATAATGGCAATGAGTTCAATATGCTAAGGCACGCGTCATCACTCATTGGTAGAATAGATTTCAATTTTGTTCATCTCCTGATGTAGAATGCTGAGTTGGAGAAACCTACTAAGGAGGAGACTGCTGTAGCCAGACATCTGCGTTTCAATCTACCAATCAAAAATACCTCCATAGATGGGCACAAAGTAGAGTACTTCACAGGTAGGCCTACATATTGTTTGTTTGTTCTTCATCTGGTTTAGGGAGGTAGTATCATATTGGCAAGGCAGTGTAAAAGAATGATTGCAACCACAAACATAAAACAATTAATCCAGGGATATGTCTTCTATGGGTACATAAATTTGTTTTCGTTAAGTTAGAACACTAAAAGTACATTTGCTCATCTGTTTGTCTGTTTGAAGCCAGAAGGGCATTAACTCTGTGTCAAATGATGTGATTTAATGCCCTTCTGGCTCCAAATAGACGATTTGATGTTTCAGCAGCTTTCACAATGATAAAGGTGTTTTCTTTTCTGTGTGATAGGATCCAAGGCTGTAGACTTCCTTCTGGACTCTAAGTGGGCGACAGGAAAAGGGAAAAAAGAGGTGATCTTCACTGACAGGGAATCTGTTGCAAATTACCTAGATGGGTAAGAAAATACCAGTAGATAATTGATTAATGTACACAAGATTCAGTTGAACCTGTCTTAGTGGCCACCTTTCTATAGTGGCCATGCATTTTGTCTCCCTCAAGAGTGAAATATGTGTATCTGGCCACTTTCTCTGTTTCCCTTGAATGGCCTCAATCGACAGCTTTGACTGTACTTAAATTTATGAACACTTCTTCTCCATGATAGCAGCTATAATAATTCATATGTCAATATTTGTAATGCACATTGCATACATTATTTATTGCTATGTCAGGCATTGATGGGACATGTGCTTGGGTGACATTTGCTTTAGTCTTGATTTTTTTCAAAATATATGGTTAGGATTGCAAGTGTATCTAAAATTGGGCTTTGGGTAGTAGTGGTTAAAGGCCCACTACTTGTAGCTACTTGCGCCCTCTATATAACAAACCATGCCTAATCGGTGACCATTGGTCCCCCATGATCCTCTTTTTCTTATGTTAACTGAGAGCTGAGTTGATGAGATAACCACCTGTCCAGTGACCTTGCAGGGCAGTCTAATCCCTCCTGTAAACTATGGCAGATACGCTTTAAGGTTTAGGTACCGGTATATTGATATGTCCAGACTTGAATTTGGGAATTAAAAATAGTCTAATAAATTGCCCATGGAGAACTGTTGTAAGATCAGTTGTCATCAAATTTGCCCATTAATATTATACAGTCAACCTCGTATACATGTTGAATAACTGCCTAAGTCGACGAAAATTAACTTGTGTTATATTCCTGTATTATTCTAATTTTGTCAGTCAGTTAAGTGCCCTAGTTGATCAAATTCCCAGGACCGTTCCAATCGAAAACCACTAAATTTACATCGCTAAAGTCGAACGAAATCAATCACTTTCAAAGCATGCATCGCGCACTGATTTTGTTTCCATAAATACGCTCTCTGTGGCCCTGTATTCTAGACTTGCTGGCACACGCTCCTCCGTTCTCATTGTATCCCCAGGCAAGTATGCCGATGGGGTACTTGGGATTCAGCAGCGTTATGCCGCCGGCCCGTCCGCCGCATCATATTCTTGTGTGCGCTCTAACTGCCACATTCCTTGACGGATTTCTTTCAAATTTTGTATAGAGGTGTATCTTGGTATAATCTGCACACCTATAACTTTTGGTGATGCTGCCCCCATTGTTACGTCTTCTATAGGGTAAAAGCCCATATTTTTGTGGATGGTTTGTGTGCGCTCTATAGGCCACATTTCTCAAGGGATTTTGTTATAATTTTGAACGAAGGTGTATCTTGGTACGATCTACAAGCCTATAGATTTTGCTGATACTGCTTATGATCTTTTATAGGGTCAAAGGTCATATTTTGATAAATATCTTGTTTGCACTCTAGTGTGTTTTGCACTCTAACTGCATCATTTCTTAACAGATTTCTTTCAAATTTAGTATGGAAGTGTATGATGATAACATCTACGCACCTGTACTTTTTGGGGAAGCTTCCACGAGTGTCCCATGTCTTATAGGGTCAAAGGTCATATTTTGACGGATTTCTTTCAAATTTTCTGCAGAGATGCATTATACTCTAATCTACACACATATTGGTTTGGTGATGCTGCTCCTATCCTAGTCTTGACAATAGTCCGAGCCACTAGTGGCGATCTCTATGTCATCCTTTTGTTTCAGGGAGGGGAGAGGAGATCTTTGTCCCTCCTTCGAACATAAGGATGACACAAAATCACTGCCACTGCCGGGGGATACATTCGCATTGCGCCGCAATACAAATTGCGATATTTCTAGTTTTCTCTTGGATTCGCCTGTCTCCCTCTCTCTCTCTTTCTCTCTAACCCGCCCCTGTCTCTCTCCCTCTTGCTCTGCCCCCCCCAATAATCTCTCTTCAATGCAGACTTCTGGTCAATGCTGCAAAGTTAACTTTTGCAATCAAAAGTGGATCAGGATTGGCATACCGTATTTGCCGGCGTAAAGGCCGCGGTATTTTTGGAAGAGAAAATATCAAAAAGTCAGGGTGCGGCCTTTGTAGTGAAAGAGTAAAAAAAAAAAAAAAGGCGCAATGTATACATCAGAGAAAACTGCATGGGATAGCATCAGTGCGGGATGGCCGAGCGGTCTAAGGTGGTGATTTTAGTTACATCAACAATTGTACGCAAGAGTTCAAATCCCGTCCTCGACAAATTTTTTTTTTTTTTTTTTTTTTAAATGTCAAAATCGGGGGTGCGGCCTATGCGGCGCTGCGGCCTTATCGCCGGCAAATACGGTAGTTCAGTTTGACCTACCGTATTTCTTTCAGTATTTCCTCGATCTTACAGTGATTATTTTTTGGACGATCATGGACTTTAAAGTGGAATTATTTTGTGCTCCTTTTTATTTTGGGTTCATTCTTCTTTGTAGGTGATTTGTTATTTATTATCTATTGACTTATTCAACTTTCCTTTTCATGATTATTTTGAAAGATTTACTTATGGTAAGCAAGTCCATCAGTTTTGAGTTGACATGGTTTTGTTTGGCAAGACATTGATCTACATTTGCCTCACTCGACCCAGGTGATGTAAATGGGTACCTGGCAGGAATTAATTCCTTGAAATGCTGGAGCGCTGTAATGGCAGCTAGGCTAAAGCCGGGGTAATAATAAATGCCCCTCGGAATATAATTTCTAGATAGATGGCGCTATAGAAATGCCTATTATTATTATTCATTAAAAAGAACTTTCATAGGATCATGTTCAATTAAGCACCCTTCCCATTTTATTTACATATAGCTTGTAGCTCCCTCGTCTCTCCTTCTCTTGGTTCTCGTGCTGCAAAATTTCCATCGTTTATATCTTGGGACTCTTGCTTTAGCATAATCACTGCTAAATGTGCTATTTCCGGAGATGTACACACAACACACACATACAGATACCCCCAATTCCTTAAAAATTGCCTGTTTATTAAAGGGGAAGTCTATGCTGATAATAAGTTGGTTTAATAAAAGCAGATAGGCTTTCTTTTGCATATGTAATACACATGTGTAAGTCAAATTTCTAAGACTTACACTCAAGTCAAAGATTGCCTTAGCGGAAGTATTTCTCTCAGTCTCATCAAGATCGATTTACGCAAAGTTATCTGTATTGACTTACACTAGGAAAAGGAGATGTAAAAAGGCAATGCGTGATAGTACCTTAATTGTAAAAGATTCACCACTCAAAAGTGATGGCGATTTGAAGATACAGGTATGAAAGTTATTGAACTTTGATTGATTTTAGCTTGCTGTGGAAGGGGCTTTTCTACCGGGCCCTAAAGATCGTGAAGAAAGGCAAGAAAGAAAAGGAAGAAAGTAAGAAAGAGAAGGAAGAAAGTAAGAAAGAGAAGAAGTCCAAGAAGGAAAAGAAGAAAACAGAGGCTGAACCTACAGAGAAGGTAAAAATAATCAGGAATTATTGTGTGTTACAATGCACCTAACAAACTAAGGGTAGTTAGTTATGTATATTACTTTCGAAATTTGTAGGAAATGCACAAGTCCTCTTTGGTTGGATAAATGATTTTAAAAAAAGATTTCTTCTCATTGTGGAATGACATAGAATACATAATGTTGCAGGATTTGTAGTCCTTACTTGTACTCAGTATTGACCATATTGTTAAATCATAACAAGGTAGAGTGTTTGCAGACAATATCCATAGCACTTATCAGTAATTTAGAATTTGAAGAACCTTCAATGATACTGAATGTGCACCTCCATTTCAAAAAAGAGGAATCATATTTTGCATGTGAAAATGATATTGTAAAACCTATCAGGAAGGGCCATGTAAGGCCATTTTTATCATACAGGATGGGACATTGCTTTCCTGTGGCAGTTAGGAGGTTTGTTTGGCACTCACCTCAAGGTCAAGCAGAGCAGAAAATTGAAAGAGCTTAAACTTTTACAGCCCCTACTGGATTTATATAGCTTCGCTGTTCAAAATTGTGCCATTCATTGCTCTTTAATACTTGTATGCTATGTAAATATGACTACACTATGCTATAAAAGATTTTTTCTTTCTTTCTAGGGTGATGACAAGGAGAAGGAAGAAACCAAAGGAGATGGAGCTAAAGATACAAAAGATGCCGGGAAGGAAGAAATGCCTCCAAAGAAGAAGGAAGGAAAGAAGAAGATCAAACTCGAACTGACCGATGACCAGAAGTTTGTGGATGGAAATGATGTAAGCTTTCTGATGTGTTTATATGTGATTGCATACATACACATATGTGTATAATATACATTCTCTATCATAGTTGTATGTCTGCAATACCAATACTGTATTTGCTGGAAAAAATGGTTGTGTGACACATGCTCCAGTGATAATTGCTCTGTGGTCAAGATCTGACCATACCTGACCATATCCATGACTGCAACCTTGAACCAGACACTATAGATCTGAATAAAAAGATTGCCTATGGGAACTCAGTGTTATATGTTCTGGCTCCTAACCATTAGGAGCCAGAGCATATAACACTGAGTTCCTATGGGAAATATATTCATTCGGATGGTCATATCTCAGCCAATACTTAACATATTCAATTCACTTTAGACATTTGGACATTATTTTTGATGCTCCTTCGGAAAATGAAGAAAAAATTGAGAAATTCTAAAAATAGATTTTTATGACGTCACAGCTTTGGTACTCTATTCCTCACCTTAGCCCAAAACTAAACCTTGCCCTAACCTATCACAAATACAGCTGGGAGATACGTTGCCAGAAAAAATGTTGCAGCACCAGAAAAATGATTTCTACATCTTTCAACTTTTTCAGCTATTTCTTTGTTTCATGTTCAAGAACAGTGATATTATATGTATAATTATTTATTCATTTTGTTGTTGATGTTTCAGGCCTTTGTCTGGGTATATGACCCTATCCGCCCAATGAACTATGTTTACGGACTTGGACTAGGTGAGCAATGAGCAATCATAGTAATTGTGAAAAGTTTTAGGGAATTGCCTTTTCATTTTAAAGTGCCCGTTCAAGGAAAATCACAAATATGCCAAATAACTTGTCACTAGACATTAGTAAGCTAACAGATGGCCATCGGACAAGTTTTAGGTCAACTACATATCGGGTGATTTATAAAAAATACAAATAAAACCACCCCCATAGCATCTATGATATATGAGAAATTCGTCAGAAAAATAACGATGTTTTAATGACGTCACAATATGCTCCAATCCTGCCCAAGAATGAACATAATTGCAATGCTATAATCTCTCAGATTATAATGAGTTTAGTGTATATAAATGTGATGGCATTTTACACCATTCACAAAGGGATATGAAACCGATACTGATAACTAAATTCTTCTGTTTGTAAATACACAGGATAGGGGTTAATAAACATTATTTAACAGCCAAAGAAAACACACTTTAAAATTGAAAAACCCTCGGAATAATACCATGGACGGCACTTGTTCCCTCTTAAAACGCCAAGCACAGATTCCTTAATATTTTTATTGCTGCATTTTTCATCAAAATATTACCATGCGCAGGGTTCAGAGTGAGGCAATAGATTAAACATTTAGTCTGACGGTAGTGAAGTAAAAGAAATAACTGAAGAGAAGATGACAGAACAGGCACTGAAAATGTGTGAGGTGTCATGGGACATCATCTGCTTGTGCAAATCATGTTCAACATGTGATGTCACACATCTCAGCATCATTCGGAGAGCTCTTCAGGTGCTATGCCGGAGCTGTATTTGAGCGTTTTGTAGTTGATAATAATCATTACTTCGAACTTTTCCAAGCATCAAATTTTGATAACCTTGTCCAATCAAAGTTTCACCTTTGCAATAATGACAATAAAGTTAGTTTTTATAATTAATGAACCTTCTTTTTAATGCACACAAAGCAAAGAGTATTTCCAATTTCTAAATCACCAATTTTATGTCATCTTTCCAAGACGTTACAAAATTGTTGCATCAGGTTTCCAATTAAAACACATTTTGTCTTTTAGCCCACATATTTTGTCACTATATATCCCAGTACATGACCTTTTTTCTTTGTGGATACCATCTTGATAAATCTTAGGTTTTATATTAAATTATCATATTTTATTATTAAACTGTTATCTATCTCCATACGTGAGGATAATCCAAAATGTAATGTTTGATTTTGGTTTAACTATCTTGCCAGTAATCGGTGCTATCGCAGTCTGTCTGTTTCCCCTGTGGCCCCCATGGATGCGATCAGGTACATACTATCTCTGTCTTTGTGGAGCTGGATTTGTAGGTGCTATCTTTGCCCTGGCTATCAGTAAGTAATTTCATTATTTTGTGTGTGTGCCCCTCCAAGTTTGCACATCTCGGCCGAGATACTGGGGTTGGGCATGCGTGAATGTGACGTTTTTAGGTCTCGATGGCTGCATAGTTTAGGGAAACTAACAACTGATGGGTGGATACATAGATGTATAAAGTAAATAATAAAATAAAGTTTTATTTTATGTTTCCCCTTAGGATAAGCACTATTTTAAATCATTGAAGGGGCACTTTTTCATTGCTACAGGGGTATTCATTGATTTTGAGAAAATCTGAGGTTGTTGTCCCTAAAATGGATATTTGCCCCTATTTTTAGTAATCGCTTAATATGTAAATGTGCATCATCAGACACTAAAAATCCTGCATAATCATCAGTTAATTTAAAGGTTACAGTCATGTTCGTATTTGATACTAAAGTTTTTACTGTGTTACCGAAATCTGGCCCAAGTGGATTTTGACATGCCATTTTTAAAACAATGTTGTTCGGCGAAGCATGTATGGACTGATGCAATTATGGTATCATTTGAAAGAGTATGACGTCTACTTTATGCAAAGCAAGAAATAATTATTATAAAGCTCATAGTTTTCTCACAATTGCCGTCAGTGGGTTTTTATGCCTCCGCCACCGAAGGTGGTGCCGGAGGCATCATGTTTTCGGGTTGTCCGTCCGTACGTCCGTCCGTACGTCCGTCCCGTTTGACCGTTATCACAATATCTCAAGAACCATTTAAGATTTAAACTTAAGACTCGGGAATAGTATTTATCACCATAGGAAGACGATCTGATTAGATTTTGGAGTACGTAGGTCAAAGGTCACAGGTCACAGAGGTCAACTTATGAAATTCCTTGTATTGAGTTTGTTAGCGCGATATCTCAAGAACCATTTGAGATTTAAACTTCAAACTTAAGGATAGTATGTATCACCATAGGAAGACGATCTGATTAGATTTTGGAGCACGTATGTCGAAGGTCAAGGGTCACAGAGGTCAACTTATGAAATTCCATACATTGAGATTGTTATCATATCTCAAGAACCACTTGAGATTTAAACTTCATACTTAGTGATAGTGTGTATCACTATAGGAAAAATATCTGATTACATTTTGGAGCACGTAGGTCAAAGGTCAAGGGTCATAGAGGTCAACTTATGAAATTCCATACATTGAGATTGTTATCATGATATCTCAAGAACCACTGGAGATGTAAAAACCTCAAACTTAAGGATAGTATGTATCACCATAGGAAGACGATCTGATTAGATTTTGGAGCACGTAGGTCAAAGGTCAAGGGTCACAGAGGTCAACTTATGAAATTCCATACATTGAGATTGTTATCATAATATCTCAAGAACCACTGGAGATTTAAACTTCAAACTTAATGATAGTGTGTATCACCATAGGAAGACAATCTGATTAGATTTTGGAGCACGTAGGTCAAAGGTCAAGGGTCACAGAGGTCAATTTATGAAATTCCATACATTGAGATCGTTATCGCGATATCTCAAGAACCACTGGAGAATTTTCACTTCAAACTTAATGATAGTATGTATCACCATATCATAATATCTCAAGAACCACTGGAGATTTAAACTTCAAACTTAATGATAGTGTGTAAACTGTGTATCACCATAGGAAGACAATCTGATTAGATTTTGGAGCACGTAGGTCAAAGGTCAAGGGTCACAGAGGTCAACTTATGAAATTCCATACATTGAGATTGTTATCATGATATCTCAAGAACCACTGGAGATTTAAACTCCAAACTTGTTTAAATTGCTCTATGGCGGAGGCATCATTTTCGACTGCGCAGTCAAAATTCCATCTAGTTTAATTTCTATTTTTTTTTTCTGGGATGCACTTTTTGTCATTTCTTTTCATGTAAAAGCATGCAAGTGAGACATATAATAATTCTTAATCTCATATTTATTATCTGTCTGTTTTTCTTCTTGCAGTACGACTCATCATATTCGTCCTCACGTGGGGCTCAACTTTTGGCAAAATTCACTTCTGGCTTTTCCCGAACCTCTTGGCGGATGTTGGAATCAAAGAATCATTTATGCCCTTTTATGAAGTTGATTATATGACTAAAAAGGAAGACGATAAGACTGAAAAATCCAAGGAAGATTCAAATGATGAGCGAGGCAGCGAGGCAGCGGAAGTGGAAGACCAACCTAAGCAAGAAATATCTCAAGATTTGGGTCCTGTTGAAAATATTCCGGAAAATATTGGTGATACAGAAGAAAGGTATTCGGATCAAGCAGTAACTCCCCCTGAAAACTCTGACGTTACTGAAGAGAGAAGTGTAGAGAGTGGTGATGCAAATGAAGATGATGACAACGATGAGGAGGATGATGACGACGACGACGACGACAACGGCGATGATTTCGAAATGATCAATGAGGAGGAAATTTCTGAAGTGTGCGATGGAAGCGGAGGTTCACAGAATGAAGAAGAAGAGGAATAACTATATATTTTGATGTAACCTTGATGTAACCACAACAACCATTCTATCTTAATGTTTGCCTTTATTCGTGCCATTATGTAGGCCGTTTCCTTGATAAAGCTTTTCAAATATTGTCACATTGTTTTGGAGGGCTTAGCCACTCTGCCTACTTAATCAGTGTGCAGTATGCATTAGTGTGAATATTGAGGTTTCTCACTGAGAAAGTACCAATTGTCATAATATCTGAAAGCATGTGTGTCCTGAATTTGTTGGAAAAGAACTTCCATATTTGCTCTCATGACCATCACATTAGCTCAGATCAAAATATGGCATCCAAAAACTAGGTTTCATTCAAGATTCTTCTTACATGTATCATCACATTCCTAACAGCATGACTAGAGCATACCTGCCAACCCTTCCGAATCATCCAAATATTAAGATTTTCAGAATTTTTAGGACCTAAACATTCTGAATATTCTGATTTTTCAAAATTCTGGAAGACCAATTTTTTTTTTTTAAAGCCAAATTTAGCTTGTTTTTTTATGTGCCGCGATTTGAGAGTTTGCTAATTGCATGCGTTGAAGGGCTGCAGGATCGAGCAGCGAATTTGTATCTCGCTTTTTGTACAGATTTAGCGCCTATTGCCAGTTACACTGCCGCTGCATACATGGCCATGGTAAGGCCATGCGAACCCTGCTAGAAATTCTTAATTCTTATTTTCAAATGTTGGCAGGTATGCTATAGTCATTACCGAGGTTTTGAACGGTTATCATGAATGACTTTTAATTCTTGTTTCATTAAGGTGGGTATGCACAAAAGTCATGAGGGTACCTTTTTCTGTTCCAGAAAGAAAATACATACTCGTTTTAAGCGTCAATACATTTTCACTCCAATCTTGCAGCCCATGATACAAAAGGAGTCAAGACTGAGCAGCTTAACACAAATGCCAAGTTTGAGGCTCACAAGATGTACCTGCGAAGAATGGCACCAAAGTTTTTTTTTTAACTGTACCACCTCACAAACTTTCTCAACCCGTTTACTATATCTTGCCTAAGATATCTCAGACTGGGGTCTATGGAAAGTGTGTGTTCTACGAAAAATAAATAATGGTATTCAAAGGCTTAATACATTTATGACTGGTCAAAGGCATATCAGTCATGTCTGAGCATTGCATTGAAAAAAGCTTGTGGGTTGGTGCAGTAAAACCTGTGATGCTAATGCCATTGTTAGCAAGTGCACCCAATTACATGTACTTTAATTTTAAAGTGACTAAGAATAAGAATGGTTATAAACTAACGAGCGATCATAACGAGAACCTCATATCCCCTACCAGTTATTACTTTAGTAGCATTTCTTTACAACTTTTGCTTGTTATTTATTAATCTCTTCAACGGTACATACATACAAATTATGATATGAAGTGTGCTCCATATCATAATTTTTCTTCTTTAAAGGTATAGACCAGTTTTGGAAATGCCCCCATTCTCAAAAATTGAAATAGAAGCTCTTTATTACCAATCATGTGAAAGATTATGTTTTGACGAAAACATGGAAACTGGCTACTAATGGATATATTTGGTAAATTATCAAAATCTGGCCTGGATAGATATCGCTAGTCCCATATACATCTTTCTGTGTACAGAGTGCTTGCAACTTTACCAAGACTGGGCCAAATTTGTTATCGTTATGATGATTCCAGAACCTTGCAGTACACACCAATACTTATATGCTAGATGATCCCTTTCCTGATCGATTCCACAACGTTTCTTTCACAATGCAATCGCATGACCAGAACTGGTCTATCCCTTTAACTACCATGCTTAATTCATCAATTTATTTTAACTTTAGAGAAAGAGGAAATTTCAGGGGGTTATAATCCTTTTTAGATATTGTCTACTTATTGATGGCATTACAGTGTTGGTTAAAGAACCAAAGAAAATGTATTTTCATTGCACATCAGAATCAGCTAAAATCTTTATACTTCAAACATTTATATTGGGACCAATTTTAATTCAATTTCTGTTTTTCTTCTAGCAAGATATTTGTAAAGCGCTTACCGGTAGAGACATTTGTATTAAGCGCTATATAAAAATAAAATATTGATATTATTATTATTATTACAATGTTTTTTTTTTTTAGGAATTCTCTTTTTCTGTTAAAGCTCAGAAAAATTCATCCCTAGATGGATTATAATAACTATATTAGATAAATTGTGGTACTAAATATTCTAATTGATCACAAACTGATTTTTCAAGACGGGTACTTGCCCTTTATTTATAACACAAAACATCACTACAATCCCCAAATATGAAGATGAAAACTTGTTATGTAGCTTTGTAAGTGCATGGTATATTAAATCAGTGCTCATACATTTTAATTTTTATTTGTTGATTGTAGTAGATCGAGGGAGATGGTAACAGTTTCCCTCTTATTTCTCTCAATAAAACATCCCATTTCAATTGCAATGATCCAAATGTTGATTACTAAATTTGTGTGCTACGTTTAATGTGAAACTGTAAGGTAAAGGCATCGTTAACAATGTTAAATCTGAGATGCACCGCCTTACGTGTTATCAGTGTCTGTGATGATATGGTGTATTATTACCTATACAAGGCATTTTAGCTGCTAAATAAAAAGTCGTATTTTGCACACTGCTCGGAATATGAAACCGGAGCGGTGAATATTTGCCATATTGCCCTCTTCCGGGTTTGCCCCGTAGACCACTGTACTAAATCAGAGGGCAATATTGAGCCATATTCCACTCTGTCTTTCAGTGCACTTTACGCGCAGTATTGTGTAGGCATTAAAGTGTACGCGCGGTAACAATCATTGTTACGTCATAATTACACACAGTAACAATCATTGTTACATCACAATTACACACAGTAACAATCATTGTTACGTCATAATTACACACAGTAACAATCATTGTTACATCATAATTACACACAGTAACAATCATTGTTACATCATAATTACACACAGTAACAATCATTGTTACGTCACAATTACATACCTGCCTGAATAATCAGATGGACCGGCAAACAGACGGGAGTAAAAATCAGGGTACCAAAGTTGTATATTAATAGTTTGTTAAAAAATGCCTCGTTTAGGTAATAATAATTATATAGACAGGGCTTCTCTCGGGGTACATTAGAAATATTGACCGCACTAAGACCATATTGCCCTCGTCCTTGACTCGGGGGCAATATGATCTTAGCTTGGTCAATATTTCTGATATACCCCTCAAGCCCAGTCAATATAATATAAATATCGAAGCCCTAAAAATTGTGCTTCAAATAGGTCAAGACGTGCTTCAAAAAGTAAAAATCTTTGAGTGACCAGTCTTACCATACTCCTTTTCCCCAATAGAATAGGAACGCAAATTTTGGTTTCGATTTCCAATCGTAAATATCTTGATAAGCAGACTGGTGATTGGCTTGTAAAAGCCATGGGGATCCTGACTGACCTAAAGGTTTATAATTATCATTGCAGCATTAGCTAAATCCAGGATTTTGTTTCAGAATCTGAGACAAAGTTACCGGATCCCTTTTCACTTCACTTCACTTCACTTATATTACACAAAACCAGTGAATTCATGTGAGACATTTGTTGCATGCATTTGCCATTTTATTATCCCCTCGCCGACGAAGTCTGAGGGGATATAGAAACGCTGCAGTCCGTCTTTCTGTCAGTGCGTGCGTCCGTAACAAATTTGGTTTCCGATTGATAACTTCAGTAATGATTGACGGATTTTAATGAAATTTGATATGAAGGTACATGATGTCAAATTACAGGCTAAGTTCGATTGTGGAGTAAGTAGATCAAAGGTCGAAGGTCATAGCTCATTAAATATGCGAATCTGGTTTCGGATCCATAACTTAAGTAACGTTTGACGGATTTTAATGAAATTTGATATGAAGGTTCATGGTATTAAAACACAGCCTAAGTTCGATTTCGGAGTATGTAGGTCAAAGGTCATAGCTCATTAAATATGCGAATCTGGTTTCCATTCGATAACTTGAGTAATATTTGACCAATTTTAATGAAATTTGATATGAAGGTACATGGTATCAAAATACATATACAGCCTAAGTTTGATTTCTGAGTATGTAGGTCAAAGGTGAAAGGTCATAGCTCATTAAATATGCTAAAACACCTAATTATATATGTGAAAATGTGGTTAACTTCCTTGCCTAGTAATATAGTATAGTCCTATGGAGGTAACTTGTTCTGATGTATATAGGCCATTTGTACCCTGCGAGGGGATGCTACGCTTTGCGTCGACTTGTTATTTTTGAGACTGATATTATGTTTTAATAGTAACAGAAAAATGAGAGAAACAGGTTAATGAAAGTTTGAGCAATTGGCAAACATGTTTCAGTTCAACCACTGTACCGGTATATATGATTTAAAAATCTGTCATCAATAACGAAGAAAATGAAATGTACCAAGCAATTTGGAGAGGAGCTTGCAAGAAACGGCATAGTGTTTTCAATTTGTGTTTGATTGCAACAATTTTCTTTAACGTTCACTTACCTGTTCCTCTCATTTTTCTGCTTATATTAAAACTAACATAATATCGGGTAGACTTCCCCTTTAATCCATGAAAGGAAAATGGACGCAATTCAATAAAGACAGAAAAAAACAAAATATTTTGATATTTTTCAGCCTTACATATTCATTATCCATTTATTTCATCCAAAAATGAAAATCACATGATATATCCAATGACCTATCTAAAGCCTTCCCCACTTATTTCACCCAAAAATTATGCGAAATTTAACTTAGGAGTAAATAACGTGTGTTTTGCATAGTTTGGGGCACAAAATTTATTCCACTTAAAGAAAATTAAACTTGTGCGACTGACTGAGTTTTGCAGAGTTATCTGTTTGAAAATTACCACCCCCCCCCCCCAAAAAAAGAAGATAATTAAAATAATAGCCACCATTGCATAAACATGAAAGCACAGACAAAAAGATGATCATGAAGATTTGAAACAATCTTACAACTTGAAACTGCATTTAAAAGAAAGTTTCAATATTTCATAAAATGAAATATGATACATTCTAGAAAAGGATACTCTGAAGCCCACATTTCTTCATATTTTAAATACGGTAACCTTCACAAATAGGTCAGCATAATCATTGTATATTATACAAATAATGAATGGTTATGAGTTCAATAGTGCGAATATGTTCATGAGTTGAAAGATTAACATTCTATTCAACGAGGCGTCAGCCGAGTTGAATAGAATTAACGTTAATCTTTCAACGAATGAACATATTTGCACTATTAAACGAATGAAAAACATTCATTATTTGTTTTATACAACATCGAAGAAGACCTAATAGAACGTTAATCAACAAATTTTGCTTTACTCCTTATAAAGATAAATTAAAGTTGGAGTCAACAGATACACGCAGGGATACGCGCACATGCAGCAGAGAGGTACGCAGTCTGCATATAACCAAAAATGCACGGCGCATATAACCAAAAATGCACGACCGTGCAATATACCATCTATTGAATATCATGTGACCAACAATTGTCCAATCAAACGACAAGGATCCACGTAGGTGTTGTATAAATTATATTATCCGGCACAATATACCTATCCATTAATCGGAACAGTACATGTCAGGTTGAAGCTCAGGCAAGCTAATATTTAGATATTCTTAACTGCCCTTTATTACAATGAGTTGCTACATTATCTATCCAGATGAACTTACAGACAGAAGGAGTAAACTGTTGGAACATCCATCTACAGATTCCCCGTTGGCTGAAGATCTGATAACAACTTTCTGATGTTCAAAGTATTTGAAAACCACTGGAAATCCTAATATGTAGATTTCTCTTTAATTAAAAAACCCTTGCCAAGACTACATGAAACGGAAGCCAATTATGGATATAAAATTCTAAATGCACCATAGACATCTTTGATAAGTTGTCTTTATTTGCACCCTGTAAAGACAGGTACTTTACAAATATACTTTGGTTATTTCAGGTGGCTTTTTGTAACACCAGAATACTTAAAACTTGCAGCAAGAATTGTAAAATATACAAAATAGACTAATATTCAGCAATATTCATA